ACCTTACAAAATTTCTTTCAGTAATCGCTTAGCATTAGTCAACAGCAACATAAGAACATTCTTATCAATGTCTGTCCCTATGTTAATTAATCTGCCGAGTAAACCGGATAGTTTCACACTATGGAGACTGGAGATAATACTTTTTTGCAGGCCGCGTAGTTGAAATTAAGAGGGCAGGGCTAGTCCATCAACGAGTGATTGATTGCATGACATCAGTGTATATTCAGCGCCGCGGTCAGAGACTTCAGGGTTAAACTAATGGCGTTTTTGTTTAGCCTGACGAAACTATGTAGTAGTAGAAGCTGAAACACGCTTTAAATTGCACGAAGTCAGGATACGTACCTACTAGTTAACCTGAACTGCATATCTGAAGTTCTGAAACGTGCTGACAATTTGTGTATGATCGTTCAATCCATTCACATTGCTAAAAGTCCGTGGATTAGCACTGTAAAGGAAAGTTCATGCGTTCGTCCAGGAATTGAACTCTTTTCTGTCAAATGTCAGCATTCCAGATGAACATGAAAATCTAGCGTTTTTGAAAGCCCTGCAACAAATGGTGTGTTTAGTTCCTGAAAAAAAATTGGAAGTTTGAAGAAAGTTGGGAGTTTAAAAAAAAGTTGGAAGTTTATGTGTGTAGGAAAGTTTTTGATGTGATATGATGTGATGGAAAATTTTTGATGCTTTTTGGTTTTTGAAAAAAAACATCGACAGCAATTGGGTCGGAGTTTTATTCTCCGACTCGCATCATCTCCGATCGGTATTTTTTTATTTTCTCCGATGGGCTTGCAGAAAATCCATATAGATGCAGAAACTAGCACTGCAAGTCTGCAGGAGAAAAAGTTCATGCGTTTCCCTATGAATATTTGAGCATGTTTTCTGTCAAACGTCAGCATTCCAGATAGATGAGTCTGAAAATCTAGCGTATATTTCTGAAATCCCTGGAAGAAAACATCGAGGGCAAAGGGGGCAGTTTGTTTTTTCAATTTCCGATAGCCTGAACACGTTGGTCAGTATTATCGGGATCGGAGTTTTAATCTCCGACCCTCCTTGAGTCAGTATTTTTCCTTTTTTGGAGCCCTCAAAAACAAGACGAACAGATTGAAACTCCGAACCCCTTCGGTCGATATTTCCTACGAGACGAGACAAGACATGCAATCCGGCCCATTAATTTGTGTCCAAATCGTCATTCATAAACAGTCCATATTACAGCCGGCAGAAAACGTTACAAACACAAGAACATTCTTATCAGCGTCCATATGTTAATCAATCCGTAGAACTCACTCACTCAGGTATGCTGGACAGTTTCGCACTACAGATAGACTTTTGCAGGCTGTTGTGTCGAAATTAAGAGGCGGTTCTAGACTTCTATACTTAGCTGCTGACGTTAGTCCTCCAACGAGTGGTATGAGAAAATTGACATCAGTATTCCGTGGGCAGAAACTTAAAGGTTAATCTAAGACGTTCTGTTAGCCTGACGAAACTGTAATAGAAGCTGAAACACGCGCTCTTCAGGAAAACCTATCAATCAAAGGACGTGACTATCAACCGTGCTGACATGCTGTGTAACTGTGTATGATCGCTAACTCCGTTCATATTGCTGAAACGTGTCTAATTGTTTTGAGCCTTTTGGGGTCAAAGATGTGACGTAACCGTGGAGAGTTTTGCCGATGAGCAGTGTGCTCAAGAAACGCAGCAGCAATCTTGTGTTTATGTGTTCCTCCAGGAGTATTTTATATTTGCTCAGTTTCTGTAAAACGTCAGCATTTTAAATGAACCTGGAAATCTTGCGTATCTTTTGAAATTCTTGAAAGAGAACATTGAGGGCGGTGGCAGTTTATCTTTCGAATTTTATTGATAGCCTGAAAAATTCGATCTAGTGTGTTGGAGTTCCTGATAGAGGGCAACGCGGCCGCCGGCGCTCTAGCGTATAGAGTATTCAAAGTCGGGGGGGGGGGGGGGGGGGGGGAGGGGGGGTTGTGTGGGTGTTAATTCTCCAAGAGTAAATTGCATCGGCGATACACGAACTTGTCAGTTATGTAAAATCTAGTGTATGAACTTGCAAAATGCTCATTTTGGTGCATGAACTAATTATCTTGTGCGTGCAAAATAAAGTCAAAAGGACATTACATGACTAATTTTGTTGATTTATGTGCTGATTAGGATACTACGTAAACATATATACGAGAATGTTGCTACTTGGACATACACCTGTTCAATAAAAAGATAGAATGAGATATAGTGATTGTAGAGAAATATATAAAAAACCAAGCAATGATATAAGGGTTAGAAACATACGAAATTCAAGATAAAGTAGAAAACAAATTTATAAATATAGCATGTTTTTATGCGTAATTACTATACGTATTCACGCTACATCCTAATCAATATCAGCTAGGTGGAATTAACCTTGCCAAGCCATTTTGGACCTAGTTTGCACGGATTAGATAAGTTCGTGTACCAAAACGAATATTTTACAAATTCATGTACTAAATTGCACCCACCTAACAAGTTTATGTATCACCAATACAATTTACTCATTCTCCAACCTCCTTTAGACTTTTTTTCTTTTTTTTAAAAAAAAAGGCAAAAGGGGCATATGCAGCAAATCAAGGCCAACCCTGCCACCATGTCAATGTCATGGGTCGGTGTAGCCTTGTCAAAAAGGTAAAAAAATCGAGGTATAGGGGTTCGGAGTTTTTATCTCTGAACCCTCGAGTCGGTATTTTTCCTTTTTAAGTCCCAAAATAGGTCAGTAAATGTTTTGTTTTTACTCGCGGAAGCAGTATACTTGGTTTTTATATAGGCCTGTAATTTTTTTTATGGAGGCCTGTGAAAAATTGAAAGTGTAGGTGGTAGGAGTTTTCATCTCTGACCCTCCTTATTTGGTGTTTTTTTGGTCTAAGGCCGAGTTTAGTTTCTAACTTTTTCTTCAAATTTTCAACTGTTTCATCACATCAAAATTTTTGTACATACATAAACTTTCAACTTTTTTCTTCAAACTTTTAATTTTAGTTAAACTTCTATTTTTGGCGTGGAACTAAACACAGCCTAAATTGTCCTTCCAAATACATTGGCTTCTGCTGCGCAACAATTCAGCCCACTTTTGCGGAACGGCCCAAGATGGCACCTGCAGTAGGTGCACTGGCCCGTAGCCAAGTTTTCCCAGCCCAGCCATGACTCCCTTGAGGGATTTAGGGGGTTCGGAGTTTCAGTCTCTGAACCTTATTGAGTAAATATTTTTCCCTTTTTGGAGCCCAAAATAGGTCAGTATATGAGTTGTTTTACTCACAAAAACAATATTAGCTTTCTTTGGCCTGATTTTTTTTCCTGATGGAGAGGCCTGTAAAAATTGAAGGGGATTGTCGGAGTTTCAATTTCCGACCCTTTTATCAGTGGAAAAAGTACACCGGAGGTCCCTCAACTTGTCACCGAGTTACAAAATCGTCCCCCAACCGCAAAACCAGATATCCGGCGTCCCTCAACTTCCAAAACCGTTCGGTCCTTCGGTGTTTTTGGCTCCGGTTTTAGCCTACGTGGCGACTGAGTCAGCGTGGGCCCTACATGTCAGTGTGTCCACGTCATCACTCCCTCTTTTTCCCATCTCTCATCCTCTCTTATCCCGTACTACTCAGTTACTCTTTTGGGCAGGCCGAACCCGCCGGCGCAAGGTGGGGAGAGGGAGGGCGGCCGGCGGTGGCCGACGCTGGTGCGGCGACGACGGCGGCGGCGGCGGCCGATGCTGGGGCGGTGGCGACTGGCGGTGGCCGACACGGGAGAAGCCGAGACGATGGCTTCTCCTACCGCGGGCGCGAGGCGGGTGGGAGGGCGGCCGATGGTGGTCGACGTTGGGGGCGGCGGCGGCCGGCGATGGCCGACGCAGGAGAAGGGGACACGACGGCTCCTCCTACCGCGGGCGTGAGGCGGGAGAAAGAGGGAGGGCGGCCGGCGGCGGTGGCCGATGCTAGGGCGGCGATGGCGGTCGACGCTAGGGCGGCGGCGGCTCCGGCTTCGATTTCCTCCGCTCTCTCCTCCGCCGCATCCTCCCGTCCTCCCCGCCCGCCTCCCTCCATCCCTCCGTCCGCCTCCTCACCTCCCTTTCCTCCGTCCGCCTTCCTGCGCGGGCCCTCCCTCATCCAAAACAAGCCCAGGTGCCGCCGCCCGATGACGGCCACAGCCCCACCGTTTCCCACCATTGCCCTCGTTGGCTCTGGGTCCTCATCCCACCTTCGGCCACGGCGACCTCCTCCGCCTCGCCCTCCCAGCTGCGAGCGGGATGGCCAGCGACTCGGCGAGGGAGTGGGGAGTCCGGCGGCGAGCGCGCACAAGGAGGAAAGAGGCGGGGAGGCCTCTTTATCCGCACGGCCGCCGCCCGTCGGCCCTATCCCTGCCGCCCCCGCTCCTCCGCCGTCGCCTACAGCCTCTGCGCCGCCGGCCTCCTCCCCAACCGGCCTGCTCCCGCGTCGTCGCCGCCGCCGCCGCGTCGCCTGTCGCCAGCCGTCGGGCCTTCTCTCCTCTCCCTTCTTGCCCCGGCGACCTCCTCACGACCCACTGGCCGGCCTGGTAGAGGAGAAAAGCGAGAGACAGAGAGAAAGAGGAGGAAGTGAAAGGAGGGAAGGAGAGAGAGGGTGGTACGTGGCATACTGACAGGTGGGGCCCGCGTGGGTCCCGCACTGACTCAGCCGCCACGTATTTCAAAACCGGAATCAAAACCACCGAAGGACCTAAAGTAAACGGTTTTGGAAGTTGAGGGACTCCGGATATCTGGTTTTGCGGTTTGGGGACGATTTTGTAACTCGATGACAAGTTGAGGGACCTCCGGTGTACTTTTTCCTATATCAGTTATACTATATGTTTGGGCCCAAATCGTCCTTCCGAAACGGCCCATAATACAGCGGCTTCTGCTGCGCAACAAGGAAAAAGTACACCGAAGGTCCCTCAACTTTTCATCAGGTTACAAGAACGTCCTCGAACCGCAAAAACAGATATACGGGGTCCCTTAACTATACAAAACCGGTCACAATAGGTCCCTCGGTGGTTTTGGTCCCGGTTTTATCCTACGTGACTGTTGAGTCAGCGTGAGACCCACGTGGGACCCACATGTCAGCCTGTCCAGGTCAGCTTCTCTTTCTTTCCCCTCTTCTCTCCCTTCCTCTTCCAGTCTTCCCTCTCTCTCACTCTTCTCTCTAGGGCTCTGGGCAGGCCGGCGGACCGACGAGGCGAGGCGGGAGAGGAGGTCCGGCGGCCGGTGGCGGCGGCGGAGACGACGCGGGAGCAGGGGAGCAAGTCGGCGACGGCGGCGAGATGCCCATGGCGAGGTACTGGAGGCGGAGCTCCGTCGGGACGGGGAGCGGGACGATGGCGGCGGACGGCGGGCACGGATCGCGTCGCCCGCCCGTGGCGACGCCAGCGCCGGCATCGCCCGCCCGCACGCGATCTCCCCCACCGCCGATCTAATGATCAGCACTATGCACTACATGGCAACCATTGGTGGTAGTGTGGTACTAGTCGTGGCTAACTAACTGGAGGATTTCCTCATCATTCCTGTAAGTAAACAGCAGCAGTCAATTCACAACAATGGCATCTCACCGTCACCTTGAACACATAACAGGTGCTGAAGGGTTTGGTAGTGACGATGGGGTCATGCAGTGTTGTTGCCACTGCCCACTGGTGAAGGCTTTCACCATCGATTGCTGCGGCATTTGCTTCAAGAGATTCCTCAACGTCCATAGAATCGACTTCTGTCTCATCAGACTCCATTGGCACTTCAAAGAATTCTCTCTTTTCTGAATCTGAAGAAGACCAATTAGATGCCGTGGCAATTTGTGGTGGCGTCCAAGGAACTAAAGCCAAGAAGTTGCTGCACCCAGGAGATTTGTCCTCCAGCCCGTGATAGTTCCTTTGCATAAAAACCTGATCTGAAAGATGAGAAAGAAAATGGTGAGAAGCAATTTCAAGGTATGGATGATAATCCTGTCCTGACATACAGGAGATCTTGGTGGGACTCGATGAGGAGGAGGGCCGAGGGCACCAGCACGCATTGCGGCGAGCCGCATGGCGCCGGGCGGTAGGAGGCGGAGGCGGTCAGGTTGAACGGCGACGAGGCGGCGCGTCTGGCCGCTGACAGGGGAGAAGCGCAATGGTGGCGCTCTGCCCCTCGCTGTCACCTCCCCGGTCCCATCTTTGGCCGCCGTGGAGCCCCACTGCGGCCGCCACCGCCGCCGCCGTCGCCGGCCATCGTCACGGCGCCGCCCTCCTCCTCTTCCGCCTTGCCCCACCGAGCTCCGGGCCGGCCGCCACCCTTCATCGCCAGAGTCACGACCACCATCGCCTCGCCAGTTCGCCGCGCCGAGCAACAGGAAGAGAGGCAAGAAAAGAGGGGAACAGAGAAGATGACGTGTCATACTGACATTTGGGGCCCACGTGGGTCCCACGCTGACTCAGCAGCCACGTAGGATAAAACCGGGATTAAAGCCATCGAGGGACCTATTGTGACCGATTTTGTATAGTTAAGGGACCTCGTATATTGGTTTTGCGATTTGAGGATGTTTTTTTATCCCGATGACAAATTGAGGTACCTTCGGTGCACTTTTTCCGCGCAACAATGGGGACCATTACCGCGGACCGGCCCAAGTTGGCCCAAGTGCACTAGCCCAGCCACGAGTCAATCGGTGTCACTGAACAGCGGGCCCCAGGGAGAACGGCGCGTTCTGGGCCCCACCCTGCAGCGACTCCGGCTCGCTCGAGCGAGACAGCAGCCAAACCCTCCACTCCTCGCTTCTCCGGTGGTTCTCTTCTCTTCTCTTATCCCCCGGAGACGCCGCTGCGGCGCCACCCCCTCCTCGCCGTGGACCTCGGGGTGGGAGCGTGGCGGCCTGCACAGCCGGAGCTCAGCTCGCCCGCCGCGTCGGATGGACGCCGCCTCCTGCTGCCGCGTAAGCGCGGGCGCGCTCCCCCGATTTCCGTTCTCGCTTCTCGAACGTTCTAGAGCCTTCTACGGTGGGGGATCCGTGTGGTGTGACCCATCGTCGCTTCTCTCGCTCTCGCAGGTCTTCTCGACGCAGAGATGCCGCTTCCCGCTGCGGAGGCTGGCGCCGCCGATTTCGCGGCGGCCGTTCGGCACGGAGTCGACGAGTGAGCTGTTCGCCGCGTCGACCTCGAAGCGGCGCTCCCGGGGGCCCGTCATGGCGGCGAAGAAGGCCGCCGAGGGTGAGTCGACTTGATCCCATTGCTGTACTGTTCTTATTTTTGGTTCAGGTTGAGGGTTTGGTGAGGGTTTTAGTAGGGGGATTGGTGTCTATATGTTGGTATTTCAGTGATGTGAGTTTTGGCTGTGGAGTAGGTGCATTAGGCGTCCGATTTTTCTTGGGATTACTCTGTGTCTGTGGTCAATGTATATCGTACTTGCTCTGTGGATTGTGGGGATGCCAGCCATTTTTGTCTGGTGAGGCGTTGGAGGTTGAAGCTGGTCTATGGCCTGGAGATTTTCGTTCTTGCTGTTCACGTTTTGATGGGATTGATCACAGGGTGAGGCACATGATTACAGATATTGAACTCGTGTGACGTACAGCTTAAACTGGTTGGTTAATTTAGGTTCAAATATGTGATTGTAGTTTCCACTTCTGCAATTGCTATAATTATTTTCAGCTTAAGCACGTAGGGCTTATTAAACTCATTACCAAACTTGTTTTACTGCAGTTTTCTGTTACATTTGTACTTTTATGATTGATGTGTGTTACTTAGGCTCAATCTGCTTGGTTTAGCCTTAAGTATGCTATGACCTGGGATTTTTGTAATTGGTGTACTTTTCAGATTTAAGAATGTACACACCTATTGGACTTCTCAGTTCGCACCAAAATGCACTTATTAGGTCTCAAGCACCATGGTTGGAAGATTATTATTGTTTTGCGTATCAGATTAAGCTTAATTCTCATTTTCTCCATTTGGAGTAGCATCAACTAGTGCTCGAAAGTCGAAACTTGATGCTTATGCTTGTTAGGATGAAAGCTGTTTAAGCTTAAATGTGTTTTGTATACCCAGAATTCGGTAATCAGATTGATTTTTGAAAATAACTTTGTTATCTGGTGTTAGTTGAAACTTTGTTATTTCAGTACATTCCATTGAGATTCAAATGCAGTGAGACCCTCTGCTTACTTAGTAGGTGTCAATACTGAAGCTTTTACTGGCAAAAGTTATGGTGTATTTTGTAATGAAAATCTCGTAGAGACATGTAATTAATTTTATCTGGCTGTTTTATAATGAATAGTAGTTGGTAGTTTGACAGGTTGAGTCCCAGTTTCAATTTAGTACTGCTTGCAGAGTTAAATTCATTAAGATATAATTATATATTTAGCTTCTTGATTCTGGCTAGGTGCTAAACAAGAAGAGGGGAAATACAAACACACGGTGGATCTACCAAAGACAACTTTTGGCTTGAGAGCTAATTCTGTTGTGCGGGAGCCGGAGCTCCAGAAGTTGTGGGAGGAGAACCAGGTGCTCAAGAGGGTATCAGAAAGGAACACTGGGGTGAGTATTTCTTCGAGTAAAGCTAAAAGTAAAATTAAAATTTACCTGACTTTGTTGGTTTTCTTGACTGTTGGATTAGGCTACATTTGTTCTCCATGATGGTCCTCCTTATGCTAATGGTGATCTTCATATGGGCCATGCACTGAATAAAATCCTCAAAGATATTATAAACCGTTACAAGGTATCGTTTACTCTTCAATCTAATCTGAGTATTTTTCTTTAAAAACCATTGATGTATTTTTCAGGGCAATTACTGATGCAGTCATAGTATGTTGTCTTATTCAGTTCAATCCATAGGATATTCTCTGTTCTGAGATCAATGTTACTGTACGGATGATTGGTGCATAGATTTTATTGTCTTTTCCAATGCAGTGCAATTTCTGTCATTTCTTTATCTTAACATGTAGAGCTCTTTAGTGTAGTTGATTGTGTACGAGATTTGGATGATTAATGAACTTTTTGCTAATTCTAGTAGTTTTTTCCTGATAACTCTCTTCGCTGAAATGTCTTTAACTTTTTTTGGCTGGATGACTATGCTTTTTATGTTGGTCCAAACCAAAATTGGGAACATAAATCAACTGACACCAAAATTTGCTTTTCTTCTGTGTGCAGCTGCTTCAGAATCACAAAGTTTCTTTTATTCCTGGATGGGATTGCCATGGCCTTCCAATCGAATTAAAAGGCAAGTTCATCTTTATATCCAATGGAAACACCCTATGTTTACAAGAAGTTAGGTAGGGGTTGGTTTTAACACAATGCTTGCATGTGTTAGACCAGCCAAGTAATTATTGAATATCCTTCCAAATGTAACCATTGACTATTTGCTGCAGTTCTAAAGTCACTGGACAAGGAAACATTGAATGCTCTGACACCTATAAAATTAAGGCAGAAGGCTGCAAAATTTGCTAAAGCGACGGTTACTACACAAATGAATTCTTTCAAGGTAACCATTTCTTTATTTTAAAGTACTTTAGTGGTGACATGATCTAATAGCAAGTTGCCCTTATCTATGTTTTGTGGTATTTCCTGGTATGATTGCTGACTTGCAGTCATCTAATATCTGGAATTCTGTCTCATGTTAGCCTTTAGTTTCATATTTCTATAATTGTATTAACCAATGACATTGTGCCTGCAGCGGTTTGGTGTATGGGCAGATTGGGACAACCCTTATCTAACTCTGTCACCAGAGTATGAAGCTGCTCAGGTCTGATCCTATTGTTTATAGTAATTTTGCCATTGCATCAAAACTTATTTATCCATTTCACATGAATGAAAGCTTGGAGGTTTGGAATTACCTTAGTTAGATCATTGATATCATCTTGGTCACATTATAGCTGCTAGCTCTAATAAAAAAAATAGAGCTGTTTACTTTCAGTTCCTTTTAGTCCATTTACCATCGTTGATATAAAATATATAACGTGTATGCAAATTTTATGCTGCGAGAATAAATACTGATGTTTTCTTTTTCATCCTTATCATATGTTTTTAATCAAGGCTAACCGTAACAACTCTTGTTCTCCATTTTGATATGCCAGCTAGAAGTTTTCGGCCAAATGGTTATGAAAGGATATATCTACCGCGGGCGAAAACCTGTTCATTGGAGTCCGTCATCACGTACAGCTTTAGCAGAAGCTGAGTTGGAGGTATGCTTGAACTTTCTACTTGATGCTATTAATTTGCTGTCAAAGGCTTTGTTGTGCATTAATTTTTAAGTGACTATTAAATATTCGAATAAAAAATTGACAATTCCGATTTGTTTCCTGTTTAATTTCAATAATTTTCTTGTGCTTCAGTATGTCTTCTCAGTGAAAAGCCACTAGATGTGTCACTTATTTCTTCCTGTTAATATTAGGCCTACACTGCTGCAGAAAAACTACCGAGCTTTTTTCATGAAGTCCTTTCATGTTTAAGAACACTTCTCTTACTAACCAACCATAAGAGCGCTTTATGTGTCTTATTACATAAAGCACATTACTTCGTACATGTAGTCTTTCACTTAATTCATGATTGGTGATCTTTTATTTTTTTTCTCCCTTTTCATTTATGTTCTTTAGATTTCTTTTGAATTTGATTCCTCATATCATCACATGCATTCCTTCTGTTCTTCCAGTATTCAGAAAATCATATTTCCAAAAGCATGTATGCTGCATTCAAGATCACCAATCTGTCTAAGCCTGGGTTGCTGGAGGAATTTCTCCCTAATTTATGCCTAGCCATATGGACCACTACTCCATGGACGATTCCTGCTAATGCTGGTGAGGTGATGCCTTGATTGCTTTAATGTATTCAGTGAGTGTCACTCTTATAATTGGATTTCATCAGAGCCAACGTAATTAATTTCAAAATATGTGGCTAATTTTGAAGCTATATGCGTCTGTACATGGAAAATAGCATATTAAGAAACAGAAAACTTCACATGTTTTGTAGTTCCTAGAACCTGTAATTCCTAGAAGGCTAGAACTTGATTAAGAAATACTAAGTAATATCTACGTTACAGTGATATAACATAGTTTGATTGTAAATCATGGCACACATCTTGCTTCCAATAAAAAAAAGAAAGCTCTTTGCCGATTTATCCCTCCATAGCAAGAAGATGCTTCATTTCAAGTATGGGTAAGATCGAATAGGTGATACTGGTATGCTACACAGCATTTCATGTTTTTGTTTCACCAGCAGAAACAGTGTCTTATTGTCTCAGCTATTCTGGAATTGTAGTAGATAGCATTATGTCCCTGTCTATTCTTATGTGTCTGCTGCGCATACTGTATGGATTCGCTTCAACTCTTTGGTATTCTCTACATATTAACTTGTCTAAGAAGCCCTTTCTTCTTTAACCAGCTGTTGCTGTGAACCCTGAGCTCACTTATGTAGTAGTTGAGCTGCAATCTGTACTAGAAAGTGAATCAACATCTGGTGGAAATCAACGAAAGCTTGGGAGTATTTTGAGCCCTGGGAGTCAGAAACCATTTATCATCGTGGCTGCTGATCTTGTCTCAGCTCTAGAGTCCAAGTGGGGTACAAAGCTTATAATCCAGAAATCATTTCCTGGGTCAGCCTTGGAGCACTGCAGGTATTTTGTTTAGCACTTCTCACTTCATTATGATTGTGCTTGACCTATTTATTGTTTTGTGTTTATTTACATTATATTTGGTGTTTTCAGGTATATTCATCCTGTGAATGGCAATGAATGTTCTGTTGTTCTTGGAGGAGATTACATAACAACTGAATCTGGCACTGGCCTTGTTCATACTGCCCCTGGCCATGGTCAGGAAGACTACATAACAGGTTTGAAATATGGGCTTCCTATTGTGTCTCCTGTGGATGATGAAGGAAACTTCACTGCTGAAGCTGGACAATTCAGTGGTTTATCTGTTCTGGGAGCTGGTAATGCCGCGGTTGTGAATTATCTGGATGAACAGTGTTCTCTCATTTTAGAGGAGCCTTACAGTGAGTAGATTGACAATAACCTCCACAATCTGGTTTCACTTGTGAATACGAAAAACCTTATTAAGTTTGTCTTCCAATTGTATCTCTTGGTTCACAGAACACAAGTACCCCTATGACTGGCGGTCTAAAGAACCAACAATATTCCGAGCAACTGAACAATGGTTTGCCTCGGTGGATGGTTTCCGTAATGCTGCAATGGATGCAATTAGGCGAGTATCTTGGATTCCTTCTCAGGTTTGTAACTGCTATACTTTATTTTCCTTTACTCTTACTGTTTCACTGAACTTCCCAGTTTGAACTTTTGTTCTCTTTAGTGGCGACAAAGTTCAGTAGAACACAAACTGCTATCTGATAGTGTTTAGCATTTTTGTTCAGTGCTATTTCTCTTCTGCACTGGTACATGAAATTCTCTATGCTAATCTTGCTTTTTTTTTTGTTGCTTTGGATCCTGGAAACGTTTGCTTGATTTCACATATTATGGTCAAGCAATTGCATATTTGCATGTCTGGTTCATGTAATAATATTGATAGATATCCTTTTAGACCCTTGTAAGTTGTAAGTTATAGTTTCATGCTGATATGGAATGACCTAATTGTACTGTCTGCTAGTTTCGGTACATCATCTTATGTAACTTGATAATAACTGAGTTTGTGTTAATATTCCCAGGCTGAAAATAGGATTGTGGCCATGACTTCAAGCCGTTCTGACTGGTGTATTTCGCGGCAGAGAACTTGGGGGGTTCCTATTCCGGTCTTCTATCATGTAGACTCGAATGAACCTCTTATAACTGAAGAAACTATTGAACACATCAAGGGTATGTCTACGCTTGTGATTTTTACTGGTTGAAACCATCGAGTACTTGAACATTACTGTGGCTCACCTTCTGCCAAACAAGCATGTAGTTCTAACGTCGGTAGTATCTAGTTCTTGTCACATTATGGGTTTGCAGCATGGTTGTATCCGAGCTATTTAAGCAATATAAAATTCTTGTTTCTAATAAAAAGAATAAAAAGTGAATTAGAATGAGATGCCATCTTTTAAAGTTGTCGCATCTAAGTGTGTTCTCTGATTTGTATTTCCACAATGAGGTTTTAGAAAATTTCTGTTCTAGGAAAAAGCCTGAAGTTATTGTATCCAATAAGTGATCCTTTTAGATAATGGAAGCTTTATTACGACTCAGTCAATTACACCAAGATGGTACAATCCAACTGAGCCCACCCCCGGCCTCTGCATTGAATGCACACAGCCAAAAAAGAACCATAAAAAACCCCATCCCAAGCACAGGAGTGTGAAGGAAACATAAAATTAGTGGTTATCAATCCGTAGACTAGACTGCCACCCGTGCTCCTGGGTAAAAAACTCCTGCGCCACCTGGTCCAAACGTCGTGATACCATTTGTCATGAAGCTGTTAACCATTTATGTTTGCACTTTTCTGAATTAGCATAGGATAAGCCTTATGCTTGACAATGCTTCCCAGGAATTTAATTTCATTGGCCCAGTTATCTCTTTATTTTGTGTGTGCATAATAGAATTTCTGGGTTATTTTCCTCTGCTTGGATTTTAGAATCCCAAAACATATGTTAATAAATATAGTTTGCTTGTTACTCAGGTATAGTGTCAAAGAAAGGGAGTGATGCCTGGTGGTATATGACAATTGAGGAACTTCTTCCTGAAAAATATCGTGATAAAGCATCTGAGTATCGCAAGGGAACTGATACAATGGACGTTTGGTTTGACTCTGGTAGGATTATGTTTTCATTCTTCCTCTATTAATGGTTTTGTTAACAAAGCTCAATGTTTGATGCTGGTCACAATGCCCAAAATCAATGTTCTTAGGAGAATTCCATCTTGTCTTGCTCTGCTCTCCCTCTTTGAACCTTGGCAGTTTTCAGATGTTTGTAGTTTTAACTGCTTTAACCTTCAAATTGAACCAAACTGCCCAAGCCATGTGCTATAATTCTCTCTTTTTTATACTGTGGTAGTGTACCGTTTGCTTTGATTTTGGCCATACGTATGTCACAGTGTGGCGCCGCTTAGGAAATTAACTATTTTTAAGGTGTAGCAATAGACACTTTTAGTAGGGATAAGATTAAACTCTAAAACATCAAATGAAAAAGACTGGAGGTAATTACTTGTTATTGAGTCGTCATGCATTGTATAGTTTGCCATATAGTTTTTGTTTACAGACCTCAACTTTTATTTATTGACTCTATTAAGGGCTCAAGGCGTGCATATTGTCATGATTTTCTGGGCGAAGATAGAGCTTTGCATAGTGTCACAATGTTCTAGGAAAAGATAGAGCTTTGCTATAGTGTTTTCTTAATTATTTTGCCATCTTTTCTTGTGTCCTTGACTTTTTACTTCTGCATATTTTCCTAATTTAGGCTCCTCATGGGCTGCTGTTTTGGCACAAAGAGATGGCCTTAATTTTCCAGCGGATATATACCTTGAAGGTTCAGACCAACACCGTGGATGGTTTCAGAGCTCATTGTTAACCAGCATTGCTACTACAGGTAATTGTGGGCTAGAAACTCGAATGAAAATCCCTTTTTTGAAAAAGCAAGTTGTTTTGCAACATTAATTGCCCAAATCATGGTTCATCCATGATGTTATTTATTCTAGATATATAAGATGTTTTTTGAGCCATATTCGGTTTAGTGTCTGACATTTCAACCACTAGTTGTGCAAATGGTGAAAATTTTTCTGTAGGCAAAGGCAATAGAACAATATTGCTTGATATAGTTGCATAATCTGAAACCACATGTGTGTTTTCTCTTGATATATTTGGAACATTATATTCTGCTGGTGGACACAATAGGTTTTCTATTTATAATTTTTCCATTAAAAAACAGGAAAGGCTCCATATTCTAGTGTTATAACCCATGGTTTTGTACTGGACGAAAAGGGTTTCAAGATGAGCAAATCTCTTGGTAATGTGGTTGATCCTGAGAAAGTAATTGTTGGTGGTAAAAATTCAAAGGTACGTTCCTAGAAAAGCTTCCGTTCTTTCTGGACTTCTAGTTTTGCCTAATGAAATATCAATCAACCTTTTGTAGCAAGAACCTGGCTATGGAGCAGACGTTCTTCGGCTATGGGTTTCTAGTGTTGATTACACTGGAGATGTGTTGGTTGGTCCACAAATTTTGCGCCAAATGTCTGACATGTACCGAAAGCTACGAGGCACAATGCGATTCCTATTGTCGAATCTCCATGATTGGAAAGTATGTTCAGTTCAACAACTAAAATTTATTTAGGTTTTGGATAAGGAAGATTCAGTACCAGGCAGCAGAGGCCATTTTATATGTTTTCAATATTTCAAACCCATATCAAAATGCCATCTTTTACTAGTTTTACATTTTGCTTAACTTTCTATTGGCTTTATTCTTTCCTTTATCGATGCAAAGCACTGAAGCTATTTCTGTTTAGATAACATATTGCAGTGAATTTAATATTTTATACAGCCTAGTTGAATACTTTTGCTGCACATAATTTTAATCTCTTAATTATCTATCTGTTTTCCCTTCTTATGTTTTGTTTGCACATTCGTTTCAATGATCATTTATTGCTCTTTATTCTTATCATCCTTTTCTCTCTTTCCTGTCAATAGCCAGAAAATTCTGTGCGCTACAGTGATCTACCGAAAATTGACAAGTATGCACTTTTCCAACTGGAAAATGTTGTGACTTCCATGAAGGATAGCTACGAGAACTACCAATTCTATAAAATATACCAGGTGGGTTAAGAGTTTGTTGTGCTTCATTACTTTCATTTTACAATGTGTGTGATCTCTTCTATACTTTTTGAGATTGTGTGATCGTAGTTGGTGTATGTTGGTCAATGGTCATCTTTCTGAGAAATGGGAAGTGCGCTTCATGATTATGATTTAGTGAATAAGAGTTTGATGGTCAAAAGTGAAAACTTTTAGCTTGAAAGTGGAATGTTCATTTTCTAATTACTGTCCTTTTCTGTTCTCCATTCTGGATCTTGAATGATATGTTTATTGGATTCTCAAATCACATGCACATTGAATGATTATATCATGCCATTTATATGCTCAGAATGGTATGATATGCATACATTATTAAAAGCAAATCCTATTGCTAAATCTCTATCCATGATTGGCAAAGAGCTGCATTATCATCATCTCTAGATAACGGCATGCCTGCTGCATCATTTGTTTGTCCTCTTCACACTTTTGTAACAAGAGATTATTGACTTGTGTTTCTATTTCAGATCCTCCAAAGATTTGCTATTGTTGATCTCTCCAATTTCTATTTGGATGTTGCAAAGGATCGACTCTATGTTGGGTATGGCTTTGATATCTTGTTCATTGGCCATCTGATTACGTTTCGTTACACTGAAAGCTCAGTCAATGTCATTTATTAATTTAGCTTGCCAGCTTCACAACTTTGTTTTTATCTTCTTATCAGTGGCCGAGTTAGCTTTACAAGGAAAAGCTGTCAGACAGTCCTCAGTGCGCATCTGCTCTATCTTGTTAGAGCCATTGCCCCCATTATGCCACATCTAGCTGAGGATGTATGGCAGAACCTACCGTTTCAACACACACTGGATGATGGATCTGTTGCTGAGTTTGTTTTTAATCTAAAATGGCCAGTTAAGAATGAAGAATGGCTCTCGGTTCCAAAGGATGATGTTGATTTTCTGAGTGTTATCCTCGAGGTATGCACTGTTTCTGCATAACTTTGAAGCGTTCACTTATGACAACCTCATAGGTTATATAGCTTTGCAGTTTTTTTCCTATAGGTCGAATATCAAACTTACGTTAAAAAATAAAACTCTGCCTTCAACTTGGAGACGTGCAACTCAGACAAGATTTCTTGTATACACGAGTAACTACTACTTATGATCTGAAATAGCATCATTTCTGCTAAATTACCTGATCCTATAGTTTATAGGACATTGCGGCTATTCTTGATTTCATGGTGATGAGCGAACTTGCATTTATGATTTCGTATTAAGATTAATTTCATGATTAAAAAATTCCATTACTTGGCAACAGTTGAGATCAGAGGTGAACAAAATTTTGGAGAGTGCTCGAACAGGAAAGCTGATAGGCTCTAGCTTAGAGGCAAAAGTTTATCTCCACGCGGAAAATGCTAACACAGTGTCCAAACTAAAGGAGCTGGTTTCGGCAACCAATGACGCTGATGCTCTGCACCGCCTGTTTATCACATCTGAGGTAAATTCAAAACTAGAGGCTGCCCTTCTGCATTCAAGTTTTTTTTTTACACCATCTTTCTTTGTTTCTGCAGGTGGAGATCCTTCCTTCCGTAAGCTCCGAAACTACATCTGGTGTATCCTACACTGGAACTTTTAGCAGTGAGCGCACCGGCAACATCTGGATTGGTGTGACTCGCGCCGATGGCGAAAAATGTGAGAGGTGCTGGAATTATACCCGAGACGTTGGATCTTTCCTTGACCATCCTACTCTTTGTGCCCGGTGCCACGGTGTCATTGATCTGCCACCAGTTCCTGCTGCCGCGGCTGTCAGCTGAGGCTGCTCGAGAGTGACAAGGACCACTATCAGCTTCATTTGAAGATTATAGGTGGAATTAATTGTTTTTGTTCTACAATTTTGTTCCCCTCTGACCGATGATGCTAGAGGAAGGGGAAACTTGAAGAGGGTTTCGGAAACTTAGTTTCTAACTTCATTTGTTGCGTACAATAAGTTGTACCTTGATTTTTGACCATTGCTTGGCTTCCTGGAGCTGTAATTGTATATTTGTATTGCAGAACTCACACGGATTAAAGATGGAAACAGTTTTGCACACGAACTCGCATCTCCTTACTTGACGTAATGTCAGAGCGCTAGCAAACGAAGGGGCATTTTTATACAAAAATCAGGAACCAAACGAACGAGACGGTCCGAAATTCCGAATCACGTTACCAAATACTACTCCTAGCGACCCAAACGAGAGTTTTGTTTCTCTACAGAACGTATCGGCTCCTGTATTGGGCTTAGCTACAAAGTTATAATGAAGATGACGAGTTTATGAAGGCTGTATACGATAGGCTTGAGACAATAATTATGTAACTTTTTATCAATTATGGTTGGAGATTCACAAATAGATTTCAATAATGTGTTCTTCTTATCTTAGATGAGTTATTTTTTATTTTAAATGCTTGTTCTCAATGATTTATTGAACTACACTCTTTTTTGAGTGTAACTTTGTAATAAATTGGAAAGGCTGGGATATTCTATTCCTCTATAAAAAACGAGTTTTGTTTGGTAAAAGTCAATCGGAGGGGATAACGCAGGGTGCGAGAATTATGGCCGTTGGATCTTTAGATCTCCAAGTCTAGGCCATTCCCCCTCTCGTGGCCGGTCGCCGGAGATCCATCACCCGCCGTCGCCCGCTCTCCCCGGCGATCCTCCCCGAGCCGCGCGCTCGCTTCCCCCGTTGTCACCAACCTCCACGCAGGATCCGCACCGCCGCTTCTTCTCTGCCCCCAACCGCCCAATCCCCTATCCCTCGCGAGACTTTGCACGCTTAAGCCTTAAGCTTCTACTACCATTTGGATCCGGAGACCGGGAGAAGTTGGAGGGCACGGACTCCGGAGGCGTCACCCGCGGGAGGTCCCCTCTGCACCGGCCGGCTGCGGGCGCGGCTCTGATGGCGCACGAGCGTGGCGGCGCCGCGTCGTCCGCCGCGGCTCCCGCCACCGAGGAGGATGCGCTGTGAGTCTGTGTTGCCCAAATCCCTAGGTCCGTGTATTCCTAGTAGACGTTTCAGTCACGCTTCTGGTGTCACTTGATCTGAAGGCCGTGGCGATTGCAGCGAAATTCAGGGTCCTTCTCTTGTTAGTGTCGTGATGCGTTCAGTGTAGTCGAAAATTTGGTGGTTCACTTGGGCTCTGGCATTGCGATGTAGTACTAAATTTTGGGCGTATGCAGGGAATTGAGACTTTGAGAGAAGGGAAGAGAAGAGCACAGGTGATGTTTGCTTGTGGTATCCCTCCAGTTGGTATTAATTCATAAAATTGGCCGTGTACATCCAAACCGGATGTAGAGGCCAGGTTTTAATCCATCTTCTAGTAGAAAATTTAATTCATAAAATGAGGAGTATAAGCAAGGGTGACATGGTGTCCATTAAGGCATTAATACAGGGTCACTTAGTTGAGCTGACTTAGCATTCACATGATTCTTCTATGACATTGTTCTAATGTTGATTTGTCTCGATGCCTTCAGGATGTATAATTCTTCTTTCATGTAGGTTTATTGACTTGCTACATGAAGCTCCTCTCTCTGGTCATCGAGAGCCTAGAAGCATTGTTGGTGGCACCTTGTACTGTATCTTGTTGGTTAGTGCAAATTTCTTAATTACCCATTGTTTTTATTTGTGATTATGCCTGAAAATTATTTCAAATGTATGAGTTCATTTGATAAATTATCTACAACAGCTAAAACATATGTATCTCTTTCTATCGCTAAACGCCATTGCCTTATGGTACTGTCATTACCCAACAAGTCCTTGTTTTGCTTCCTTTGTCCATTTTGTAATAGCTGTATTTTATTTCTCTCTCTAGGCAGGTTATGCTGCTGTGGCAGTGTCAGCCCCATGGATATTTTACCTTGTACCAGACATGATCCCCCCATTGCTATGCAGCTCCAATGTTATCATTCTGATTCTAACAGGTTCTCTTTGAGATCAGATGTGGCATGTTTCTGTTGCTGTTTTCTGTTTGCTACTCTATTTAGTTATTTTGTTGGTTCATGTTTTATCACTTACTATGACTTATGGTTTGCATGGAACATAACATAGGTATTTTTCAACAATATTGGGTTCACCAGGTCAGAAAAGTGAGATTGCAGGTATTTAAATGAAACAACTGCCTTTTGTTTTACTTCAATTGGACTCTGTTAACACCAAAATTTGATACAATTCTTTAGTGGACTCTTACTTTAAACTTTGCATATTAACTAGCACATTTCTGCTTTGGATGCAGGGGTATTACGATTTTAGTGAGAAATTGAAGCGCCTTGCTCAACTTCCATTTGCCACCGTTGCTAGTGGTAAGTATAGCACCAAATAAATTTGCCCGATGCTGTAATACTAGTGCGTTCTTCATTTTTTTTAATGTTTATAACAAGTATGTCCTACTTAACTGCACTTGTTTCAACATGATTAAACTATTGTCTTTGGTATTTATTTAAGGATCTGTTAAGGAATTGAGATTTTGAGAGGTTCATATGTAAAATATTTTTTTGGCATTGAAATGACCCATTGTCCATATTCTTTTTGTTCTTTTGGCAGGCGTTGCTTCAATGCTCTTAATCATAGTCTGGCAACCTCTAGTACACATACTATCGGTTTCTTTATTGCTAAGGTACACCTTTGTAATTGCAGCTAACCTCTGCAAATTTCTCTGTTATGTCTTGAACGGAAGTTGAGGTTTATCCGGCATCTTTTGGCATGAGGTTTGGTCTGCGGATTCCCAAACAAGTTTGGGAACATGAATTATTCTCTTCTCATCCTTTCAGTGCATGTATAATTTCTTTCATTTACTATTATGCAGGATTGCTATTGTGGTTGAAGCTATATGTGCTGGATGTTTCATGAGCTTATACTTATGTGAGTCAAGTACTCAAGTCATTTGTGTCCTTGTTAGATAGTTCATCTTGACTTCTACAATTGCAGCAGTTATGCTTCCCCCAAGCAGATCCTCAGCCATGCAGGACAAACCTTGCATGCTGGAGGGTTCAAAGCCTTGTCATCATGAGTTTCGATCTCGTCATTCTTTTTTTTTTTTTGCTCCCACTAAGAACAGTGTTGCTTTTCCTTAGAAATGAAAGTTTCAAGCCCGATTATTTGTTTTTTCTAAGATATAATGCCCACTCGGTTCTTTTTACAGGGCATATCCACAAGTACAACTCTCTGAATGGGCACCCTGATATTTTGCGGTCCTTATATTCTGCACTCCAACTCCAACCATCTAGTTCTTTGGAAGAACGAAGGTACAACATAAGGGTGTACATTAAATGCATTGAACTTTTCCTTCTTAATTTACAATAAAATACTACCTCCGTTTTTTAATAGATGACGCCGTTGACTTTTTCTCACATGTTTGACCATTCGTCTTATTCAAAAAAATTACGTAATTATAATTTATTTTGTTATGAGTTGTTTTATCACTCATAGTACTTTAAGTGTGATTTATATCTTATACATTTGCATAAAATTTCTGAATAAGACGAATGGTCAAACATGTGAGAAAAAGTCAACGGCGTCATCTATTAAAAAATGGAGGGAGTAGTGTTTGAAGACACGTATAAACATGTACTATGCACAGTTTCTACCACTTCAGGCTTGGCGTTTGATTTTCTGGCAGTTTGGAAAAGCATTCTTTAGTCCATGTTTATCAGAAACATCTGTATTGAACCTATATCTAGAAGGATGTGCCTTCACATGAGTTACAAGTGTTGATATGTTGCCGAATATGTCATATGTGTACTTGGCATACTGCCAGTAGAGTTTCACAAGTTATTTTTCTTTTCACCAGGTATTATGATGGTCGTTTTTCTGACCAGCAAATGGCTCTGCTTCAGTACCAAAGGGAGAATATTCATTACCTGAGTGAGGAGGTACTTGGAAGATCAATGCAGTATATCCATTTTAAAATTTGATTATGTTAGATTGTGTTATTATTTAAATATTTGTACAAGACAACAGTAGATTACTAGCATTACTATTTCATGGAGGAATTAGCTGATCCTTGTATTTAGTTCTACATTAACTTAATTGGCCAGTTCTGTAGTCAGTGCTGAAGTTCTCAATAATAATATGTTGGAACTTCCAGAAAATTTCTTGTTGAATAACCAAACCTTTTATTTTCCTGAAAGGTGCTCCGCTTGCAAGAATGCTTAAGCAAATACCAGAGAACTGATGTTGGGAGCACTCCTCAGGTCTGCACAACACTGATTGATTGTGTTGCATTAATTAACTGACCAGCTTCGTAGGTGCAAAATTAGAGAAAGGAACTTTGTAGCTATTATGTTTATGTGAATTGATGGACTTGCATCAACCCCCTTTTAATTCTACAGGCCGATCTTGCTCATCTATTAGCATCGCGTGATCAAGAACTTAGAGCACTCTCCGCTGAGGTAATTAAACCTATATTGTAATGCTATAATGCCTCTGATCACAAAACATAATTAACTTGCCTGCTTACACTCCAGTCCTTGTTATTTTGACCGCGTTGTTATCTTAAGCCAAGCAATTTTCTATATTCTGGCCAGGCAGGTCTCCAAAATCTCACCTGTCTTTGGCCTACTTTTTATGAACTCTTGCAAAAGCTATTACTATAGATGTTTATAGCACGATAATTTCTTAAAATTATATTATAGCTCAACTTTGTAGCTGTAAATGATAAGTTGAGAACCATCTATTTGAGTTGTTCATCTTTAGCACCATAACTAAAGGTGTAAAGTCTTTATTAAAATTTTCATCTTCTACTAATACCATACTAATTGAATTCACAGATGAATCAAGTGCATTCAGAGCTTCAACTTGCACGTAGTCTGATTGATGAAAAGGACTCAGAGATCCAGCGCATTCGTGTGAGCAATAATCAGGTATTTTCACAAGTAACCATCAAGAGGTTTAGCTTAGCACGTGGATCATGCTTATTTTACTTATATCGTCTTCCAAACTGTTCCTGCTTGATTACAAACATGTTGGATGCAGTATATTGAAGAAAATGATAGACTCAGAGCCATTCTTGGAGAATGGAGCGCTCGAGCAGCAAAGGTACACTGGCTAAAGTTCTGTTGTGGGTTGAGTTGTACTAGCATTATCTCTCATTGTTTTGCATGTGTTCAACAGCTTGAAAGAGCACTGGAGGCAGAGCAAATATCGAGCATTGAATTACGGAAGAACATTGCAAAACTCCGAGGGCAGACTTACAAGGATCAAAACACCTGATCTCCCTTGTTTTCAGGATATATTCACCTATGGCGATGTTTGAGCAGGTTTATCAACTCTTCAGCTGCTAAAGGTGCCACCTGTGATATCCTTGAATTCCAAACCTCTAGTGATAAGAAGAGTGCCAACACAGTCCAGTTTCGCTAACAACAAAGCAAGGTACAAGATCATCACTCAATCTGATATGCATCAAGGAAAGGAAAAATGCCTTTGCTACACCTCTCTCGTGAATGTACAGATTGATGTTTGTAAATGTTGTTCGAGAGTATGGTGCAGCACTGGTTTTTTGTGCTTCTACCTGATGCTTCTACAATGACATCTTATCATGGCAAGAGTTGTGCATTGTTTTCTGAGCACTTGCGAAATGAAAAGTGAGCATTTGTGCCTAAGCTCCCCCAAAAAGGTATATCAGACTTCTAATTTCTTCTGAGTTGAGAGTATCAAATCTGTACTGCAGTCTGAGATGCTTTGCTACCCTTTGATTCAGTTTGCTTTGCTATCTTAGATTCAGTTGGCTAGTTCTTTTTCACAGTTTAGTAGCTTTATATTACATATGTCTTGGGCAATGAAGCTCATGACCAACAACCAATGTGCAAAAGCGTTCTTCTCCCTCCTTTTCCTTTTGGACAACTGGTAGAGGGAGAAAGTTAACACCGACAAGTCAATACAGAACCAAGGAATGTTCCTGAGAATAATTTTGCTAAAATTCTACCTCGAGTTGTCCCATTCTTTATTAATCTACTTGCAAATTGTAAGGTGGAATTCCACATGTCGTTAGGACGTTAGGCCGGTAGGCCCCCATCCTTGACTATTGTTGACACTGCTATGCTTGATGCTGTCTTCTTTAATCTCTAGAAAGAAACTTGTGGGGCCTTTGGTTGTTGAAAATGCAACAACAAACGACCCTGAACAACCAGGTGCTTCAAATGAATAGGGACATTTGAGCAAATATCACATACTTCGTGCACGAGTCCAATTTGTTATAATTTTCACCATACAAAATTTTGTAGTTCTGCATCTGAACAACTTCTGAAGTTGCCTCAAGCAATAAGCAATTTGCTGCGTCTGAAATACGGCAAGCACTGATTATTGAAGGATTACTGAAGCGCCTTTTTCAAACTCACGGTAGGATTGACCTCATCTGGACCGTCCGATCGAGATCCAGCGGCTATATTCCTCCCAAAAAAATAAAAATAAAAAACGCGCCGGGTTCCAACCGTACGAGCCACGAATCCTCTCTTTCCCGGCCACCTTCCTCTCGCGTTCCACTGCATCCTTCCTTTCCTTCCTCGAATCGAATCGAAGCTCCGCCTGCTCCGCTTCGCTTCGCCGACGACTCCGGCCGCCACCGCAACCGCACGCGGCGGCAGCCTTACCGGATCCTCCACCCCCACCCGAACCCGCGAACCCGCGTGCCCGTGCTTCACGCGCATTAAAGCGGCAGCAAGGCCACCTCCTCGCACCTCGCTCACCGCACGGCACACGCGCCCGGGGGATTTGGAAATTGGAAATTTCAGATCCCAGATCTCGTCTCGCCGATCTCGCCCTCCGCTAAGGTACGGATCCCCCGCGATCGCTGCTTGCAAGTTCAGAAATGTTGCGGCCGCGGCTGCTCAGCGCCGGATCTGTTGTGTTTTCCTGTGGTTTTTAGGTGTTTGGGATTTTTTTTCATTTTGTTGTGCAATGTATGGAGTGTGAGATTACTTGTGGAAACTGATTAGTGCAATGATTTTGCAGCCATGGGTTCGGTTGTGGATGCTCCAACAGTTGTGGCTGGACAGGAGGTACGCATAATGCTATTGGTGTACTAATTTAGTAATAATTTTCCCTACTGTTTATTGGTTGAGCTTAATGAACTGCTAGATAGTTTCCTATATTATTTGAGTATGTTTTTAGAACACAACTGTTATCTGAGAATGTGCAACATGTTTTCCTTGAGGCATCAGAGATTATAAATTAGATTTCCTGATCCTTTGGCTGTGAGTTTCGCTACAGTCAAGGGCTGGAGCTTGAAATCTTGCTTCCTTTCTGTTTATAAATTTAAAAACCATTTATTTAGGCTAGAATATGTCGATGTATTTCTGTTGTGTATGATTCATTTAATCTTCATGTATACTATTATACCAATATAAATTTTGACTCCTTGAGTCACAACGTAAGCTCATTTATTTGTTTATTCAGTTCATATCCTTGCCTCATACTGTACTATAATTTATGCCATCCATAGCTTGTCTTATGGGTGAAATCTGCCCCTCATGCAGGAGGTCACTGACAACATGTTGGGTGACAAGAAAGTTACAGTTGTATTTGTTCTAGGTAACTGCTTACCTTCTACTTTATGTTTGATTATAATGTAAGTCTCATATGAGAGGAAACGAACTTATAGGAAACTTTAGATATGCAATGAATTGACATGATAAAATTTAAGTACTTACATAGTTATATATTATATATAAATAAAGAGATATATTATCTTCTGTTTCTAACCAAAAATTTACACAGGTGGTCCTGGGAGTGGAAAGGGCACACAGTGTGCCAACATTGTTGAACACTTTGGATTCATTCATCTTAGTGCTGGAGACCTTTTGCGTGCAGAGATCAAATCTGGCTCTGAGAACGGGTATCTTATTTTCATTCCATAAGAAACCCAACTGTTTCCTTTTGTTTGGAACAAGCTTTTCCAAAATTCAATTTGGTTATGTTTCCTCCTTTGTTCAATTTCTGTCTGTTACTACTAAATATTTATTGTTACACTTCCATGTTTTATAGAACTATGATCGAGAACATGATAAAGGAGGGAAAGATTGTTCCATCTGAGGTAACTATAAAACTCTTGCAGGAAGCCATGATTAAAAGTGGAAATGATAAGTTCCTTATTGATGGATTTCCAAGGAACGAAGAGAATCGTGCTGCATTTGAGAACGTTGTAAGCACATCTTCTCCTTGTACTTCAAAATTTTAGATCACTTCACTCTTGGGTAGCAAACAGTCATGACTCCTTAGTAGAACGTTCTTCAGGGGCCACTCGCAGCCTGTGTACACACACACACAATGACAATGCACTAATAGCATTAATGTGTCAAATGTTTCAGACAAAAATAACTCCTGCGTTTGTGCTATTCTTCGATTGTTCTGAGGAAGAGATGGAAAGACGTCTTTTGGGACGCAATCAGGTTTTCCTCATCACTTAAGTGTATTCTCCATTCCATTTTAAACCTTACCACCTTATCGCCACATGAATAACCTGTTTTCTGCTTCCAACTTTTTCTTTTGCAGGGAAGAGTTGACGATAACATTGAGACTATCAGGAAAAGGTTCAAAGTTTTTGTTGAATCCAGTTTGCCTGTCATTGAGTACTATAATGCAAAGGACAAGGTTAAAAAGGTACTATTGCTCTTTGAATGATGCAAAAACAACAAAAAGGATGGATAGCAATAGGTATTAGATGCTATACATTCGAAGTGGAAGTAGTAGGAGTATAATAATATGAAAGACTATTCTACCATGATATTAAAGTTTCCCATGATCATTATGAGTTTCTGACCACGATTTTCTTTGCACACTTACATGAATTACTGCCTACTTATTTTCTAATGACTTTTGACACCTATTGTAAAACTTGTTATCTTATCAGATTGATGCTGCAAAACCAATTCCTGAGGTGTTTGAAGATGTCAAAGCCATTTTCGCTCCATATGCGCCAAATGTATGTTTCCACTTTTCTGGTTTGTTATGTTCCTTTTGCGTGTATCACATAATCATTGCCTATTTTCATTTTGCACCTCACATTATGATCTTATCTATCAGGCCGCTTAGAGCAATAGAAAGGACCACATGAGTGATAAATTGCACCAACTTTAGAAAAGGTACTCTCTCTGTCCCATAATATAAGAAGTTTTAGAGTTGGACACGGTTATCAAGAAAGTAGGTAGAAGTGAGTGGTGGAGGGTTATGATTGGACGAGTAGTAGAGATAGGTGGGAAAAGTGAATGGTGGAGGCTTGTGATTGGTTAGGAAGAGTATGTTGGTGTAGAAGTTGTTATATTTTGGGACAAATCCTAAGAGCTAAAAGTTATTATATTTTGGGATGGAGGGAGTACATCTTCTTTCTCTGCACCTCTATGCCGGTTAGCATATCTGATCATAATATGCAAAATGAAATAATGATAAACACAAACCATGCCAATTAATTCCTAGTATGTTGATTCTTTTCCTTTTGTTTTTGGTCAAAGCAATCTTATGTGAATTGCTTGCATTTAGTCAAATGATAATACTTAGAACCACAGGTGCTAAAACGAGCCCCTGCTATGCCAGTTTTTCTGTTGGCAATGAACAAGCTCTTCTGCTATGCCATTTCTGAACCACATTCAATCTTCCCCTGTTCTGTTATTACTTACACCATGTAATATATCTGTTGCAGGCTTTGCTCTCAGGTGTGACTACAAATCTGTGATTACGAAACCGTTGATATAGAAGAGAGTTTTGGCTCATATGAGCTACCTGCATACCCGTAGGCAATTTGATTTGTTACTTGCAATAATTAATTTTGATCCCCATTTCCTGCTAGATTAACTTTTACGAGAGTTGGCGTATCGTATGTAATGCTGTACTTGTACCAATGTATCATTTACCTCATGGACGATGAAACTTTGTCCTCCCGCCAGTTTCTGGTGGTATAATACAGAAAGTGGAACTTCCGAATTTTTTTTTGGTTAGTTTCTAAAACAATGTTCACTGAACAGCTAATAATTATTCAATTTGTTATTGACAAGCCTTTGCAGACTGTGTTAACTTGATTGCACATTGTAATATGATAGTATCCATATTTCCTTGTTTCATCTCTTTGCAGTATTGACCAGATTTTTGTTTGTTTGGTCAGCTTAATGAGTGTAAGCACCAGAGTCAAGATTATTTCTGTTCGGTGTATGTTATGTAACTATTCTCTCGTTTTCTCTCTTTTTAAAATCTGAGGTCAACGTTGATCCGGTCGAGAAATCAACTTCTTTTTTTCACCTCATAAACAGTTGCAGCATGTCCATAAGAAAATGACTCCTTTTTTTGTCCTCATTTCACCTTCCCGCTATTTGCAGTTTTTTTGGCCAGGTTCAATGAATATAGTTATTTGCTATGAGACAAAGCAGAGGATGCCATGCCATCAGGCTTCTACCTCTTGGGGCCCTTTTCAGTGATTTGGAACCTGCAAGCTTGATTGATGGTTACCCCATGCAGAGGGAAGAGAGCAAGTGAACAAACAATGACAAGCACTACAAGGCAAATGCAAAATATGTGTATTCTTTTTTTAAAAAGAATATCCTAGCGACAACAGTTTCATGTCCAGGGACAGGGAAGAACAAAGCAAAGAAGCGTCCCCGGTTCATCCCTTTCTTTTTCTCTTGCCTTTTTCGTCTGGGGCCTGGAAGCGTCACAATTATAGGCTTCAACGAGATAGTTAGGCATGTGGCATTGCAAGATGGTTGGCAAGTAATCCATGTGAGCGGCAACGAACCACGCGCTGTCATGCTCACATTCACGCAACTAGCCAGGATAGCATTACCAGCTGGAGTAGCAGGTTGCAGGTAGCAGTTGGCAGGCACCAGCGCCGGCACACCGGCCATCCTGATTCCGCCGGCTTCCGCCCTTTCCACCGCCATCCTCTCGCCGGCCGGCCTACCGCCAAGAAAGTCATGGCCATGGAGGAGCTTTTGCCTTTTAGCAGCTGTTCTTGTAAGTTTGTAGTTTCTTTAAACAATTCAGATTCTAAGAATCTATATAGTCCTACGTAGAATATAGAACATGAACTATAACTCATAATTTTATACCAGCTAGTATCACCGGTTATTTCTAAGAATCTCCTGCTCTCTTAAACAGGATTGAGACGCCGAGCTATCCGGTTTCACTATGGCTGTGTTTAGATCCAAAGTTTGGATCCAAACTTCAATCCTTTTCTATTACATCAACCTGTCATACATACAACCAACTTTTCAGTTACATCATCTCCAATTTCAACCAAAATCCAAACTTTACGCTGAACTAAACACAGCCTATGTAAGTTCACATGATTTTTGGTTTTTGAAATAAAATCACATGATCAGAAGGTTGCTATGGTCCCCAGTTTACATCCAGTGGTCACATACTCACATTGTACCCCTACTGTATGTTGGGCGACTTCAGGATAGGATCCGTTCCGTTGATCGAATCATGGATCACCCCCCCCCCCCCCCCCCCCACAACACAAGCCCGTGCAATGCATGCCACCAAATACGAAGAGACACAATTAGTACAGTTCTAGATTTGCCAGACAAGGGCCCTTTCAGCATCTTGTTCCTAATCTCCGCGTCAGACATACACATTCTGTTATTCTTATATCTTAATCAGACAGGGCGCAGATGGGATTGCATCATTTCGATTAGTTAATTTGCAACGATTACGACTCAGGCACTACTGTTGACTACAGTTGGTTAATTTTGTTGAAAAATAATAATAATTTGGCTGGCTGTTAACACTGTTTTATCGTCCTTCATGTTGGGCTTGACTGAAAACGTGAAACATGATGGTTTTAACTGGTGTATGCTAAAAAATAAAAAAGCAGATGGGCCGTACAGAGAAAAACAGAGCGGGAATGAAGAAAATTTCAGAGTTCGGCGGCCGGCCGTGCGCTCGCGTCAACACGTTGTACTGGCCGTTGATTCTGCAGATTCCGCGAATCGTGCGGATGCTCGCCGGCGCAACCCACCTCCGCCGGAATCTGCAGCATCAACGGCCAGTAGCGCTCCACGTCCGACCAAAAGCAGCATATTCCACGGTTCCCCCGGGTCGAGATGCCCAGCTGGTAGGCCTATTTTCTTGACAAATTTGAATTTTCTGGAGCACGTCATTGTCAAGTCTCATGGACACACAGGACATTTGAAAAATACTACCACAACATAACTAAATTTATAAAAGAAAATCATATTTTTTGATATACTATTCTTGTTGACACAAGCTCATTTTTTAACTTTGGATGAAAAATAAAAAGCGTCTAAAATTGCGTAGTAATAACCTTTTCGTCGACGAGGCATAAATCGGCTGCACGTGTTGCTCGCCTTCGCACGGGCGGAAGCGGAAGGAGACCCGCGCCGTGTTTAGTTGGGGGAGAGAAGGAGAGAGAGAGAGGGCGAGTAAATACGGAAACGAAGCCGCTTGCTTTCGGTTTCCTCCTCCCCCATTTCCTTGGATTTTGCGAGGTTTCCTCTTCCTCCACGCTCTCGAATCCGAGCAGAGAAGAAGCACCAGCCGGGGAAGGCACGGGAACCCTAGGTTGGCTGCGCCGCCGCACGCACGCACCCGCTCCCTTTCGTGCTGCTGCTGCTGCTGTTGTTGCCGCCGCCTGCATCGTCCCCGATCCGCCGGCCAGCCAGCTAGCTAGCGAGGGAGGCCAGGTGAGGCGCTCTCGGCGTTCGTTGCGCGTGTGGTGAAGTCTTCGGGTGGTGGGGATCGCGAATGCGGGTGGGTTTGGGGGAATTTCTGTGAGGGTGGTGGGGATGGGTTTGGGGGAATTTGGGTGCTGCATTGGGGGTTGGTTTGGTGCTCTGCGTGAATCTGGTGGGGATAGTGAGATCGTGGTTTGTTTTGGTGCTAATTCGGGAGTTCCGGGTCGAGTTTTTAGGTGATTTTCTGAGCTGGGGGTGAGGCTTTGATGATGGGAAATAAAAGTATAAGCAACTAGTGTGTTCGATCGCTACTTTTGTTGGCAATATTGAGATCATACCATGTTTCTCTCTCTCTTTTTGTGTGTGTGAGTTTCAGTTTGTGAACGCCTGCTAAGGAGAAAAAAGGACTTCAGAGTTCTCACGGTTGTTTTCAGATGATTATTTATCGTGTCACTATATGAACTAATGTAAATAGCTTAGGGAGTAGAAATCAGAATTTATGTAAAAACTGTTTTTAGCAACACATCCTAGCAGACAAGTTGGAGATTGACTTTTACATATTTGTCTTAGTAGCAAACGTCTCCAGGAGTAAAAATCGATGCAAAATCATTATTGAGTAATTTATTAGTACTGTCTTCTTATTCGGTTACTTTGTTCTATTGGCAGGTTATACTGGGCTTTCCTCCTGATAAACTCGTTCTAAAGACATTCGGTGTTGCCATAGTTTTCCAAGTGAACTCACTATGAAACCGGACTGGTCAATTTTCTCCAAGTTTGACCACAATGGAGGGTACCTGCATAAATTCCCAATAGATTCTCCAATATCTCATGATATTGGATTAGGATTGATATCACATTTTGGAACCTTAGTCGAGAGTTCCTTTCAGCATCCAAGGCATATATGTTCTACAGGGAATGGAGCAGTTCAGGAAGCATTCAGTTGCTTCAACAAGTTTGCTGGTGCTTTCTATTTCTGGCTTTCTAGAGCATCAAATCCCAAGATTTTCCACAGGTTGTCAGCTATTGCAGGCTCAAGTTCAAGAGCCTGCCAGTCGCAAATAAAGCAAGTGACTTCTTGCATGCAGCATTTGGCCGGATTGCGTTTTGGTTCTCAAGTTAGAGAAGAGCACGCTATACAAATTCTTTTAGCAAAGCTTGCTAATGCAACATTTGGGCGACTGTGGAACGAGGTGGAGGAGCGCCATGCCTGTAACATTCTTATGTTAGCTGCTGCTACTGTACCACCATTTGAAAACATGTAGGTTCTTCTATTTATATTGTTTTTGTACTTCCAATGCCTGTTCCATTTGGCTAATTCCTGTATTTTGGTTTTCATTCTATGTGTACTTTATCGACTGCTCATTTCTTGCATGGACAAGATCGCCGAAGATGCTTGCAGACTCAATGACATTGGGAAGAGATAATGGTCGTACCAGAGAACCTGTTGATCAGCATTCTTTGGAGGAAAACCATTCAGGCTGTACTTGTGTTGCTGTGCCAAGAATAATTTTACCAGAAGACGCAACTGAACCAAAAACTGGGATAAAGTTCCCTACTCTTCTCGAGGATAATTCAAATCCAACTTCAGAGGTATTTTTCAATCTTGTATATAATTGATCTGTTCTTTTTTTTTCCTTATTCATGAATGCTGATAAATAGCTTCTTGACATTGTGTTAGCAACTTAGTATTTCGAAAATAATACCACAATGTTTTATTCCAAATCCATAATGTTGCTTGATCTTGACCCCCTTAGGCCCTTAACGAGTTCAACTAACGGTTAAATTTACAGGTGCTCGTCGGGATGGGCTTTAGAAGCATGCGAATAATGAGGGTCAAAAACCTGAATCTCTATGCCTTTGGATTATGTGAGTATAATAAAATGTCATGTTTAATATTATTACTTATGAACCTTTTAGCATACCACATAAACGATGTTTCTTTAGGTTACTAATGTTGTATTCTTGTAGATATACAACCAGATTCTATTTGCAAAAGGCTGAGCCCAAAGTATGCTTCTGTTCCAGTTTCTGAACTGAAGGACCACCCAGATTTCTATGAAGATCTTTTGAGGTGTGCATGCTCTATTCATCTTTTATGCAGATCTTTCCCAGGTTCTGGCACTTAACACATACTATGCAGTACTTGTGTAACGCCAGGTGTTCATTTAGTAATTTGGCAGAAATTATATGGATCATTAAAAGTATTGGCTGTTTTATGCTAGAGGTTAATGGGACTATTCCAAACCTGCAATCATTTGATGTGCTTTTGAGGACTTCATTTGAGTAGTTTTTTGTATTCTGCATAAGAAACAAGAGGAATCTTAATTTTTGCCCCATCTGCATTCCTTTCGCTCTGATCTAACAGGTTTGTGTTGTACCTGTCATGTTGTACAGGGAAAATATTCATATGACAGTCAGGCTGATAGTTAGCTACAATGGTCTTAGCATTGGCACAGTGCGGGAGTATGTATTTTAGTTTTCTTGTGCTAATATCAGCACATTCTTATCTTTAGCTGTAGTTCAGAAGATACAATCTCTCAATATGCAAGCTAATCATTTTCTTTAACACTCTTTTCAGTGCATTTGAGAAGTCCCTTTGCTTCCGATTGCAGAAGGTACTTGTTAATTCGGCAGCTAAAAATATTCTTGGCTAATTATATAGGTCTAAAATAATTTCTCTGTACCATTTCAAACCAGATGAATCCTAATACTGATTATCATTGCTTGAAGACGTTTGGTTCTTATTTTAGTGAAGATATTTGTATACCTGCGGTAAGTTCCAATATTACGTCTGGCCTAACTTGGTACTTCTCATCATAAGATACTGAAGTCAATATGACTGCAGGGTACAAAGATCGACTTCCGGCAAACCTCTGATGGCCAGCTCATAACTGAAAGTTAGTATCGTATGCCTGATTGGTTCTGCATGGTTAGAATTTTTACACCTGACAAAAATGTTGACATGGAACGTCTTTGTGCAGTTGATGGCAAACAAATTGGTGCTGTCCAGAGCAAAGATCTTTGCAGTAAGTATATATATTCGTTCTTTCTAACTTCCAGAAAAAAAAAAAGACAGAATTACTGTTATCTGTCATTATTTATTTGGCAAATTCCTTATGCTGTCTTTATGAACAGGGGCTTTCTTCGATATGTATATTGGTGATCCACCTGTTTCAGTCGAGACCAAACAAGACATTGCACAGAATGTTGGTGGACTCATTAGAAGATGTTATTGAAAGGCATAATTAAACGACAGACTGGTCGGAATTATTTCATTCTTCGATACAAGGATACTAGGGTGAGGGGGAAGCATATACAAAGACAGGACTAGGAGGAGAGGATGAACTGTATGTATAGTGATAGATCAACCTGTAAACTAAACAGAGCCTTAGCATCTTTCTCCGGAGCAATTGCCTCCATGCTTTTCATATGGGTTGGCTTTGGCTATTTCCTGGCCACTGTATCATGTGCAATGATCCAGCCAGACAATGTAAAAGAATGCTTCCTTCCCCCATCTAAAATGAGGGACACCAGCTTTGCTGGTTTAGATTAGGCCATAGTAGTGGTGCTGAATATAAATTGTGTACTAGTGTTGAGATTAAACAGCAAGTAGTGTACTAGTGTCACTTTTCCTTGAACATCTCTCTGATGAGAAAAAGAGAAACTAGCTTCTAGATAACCCATTTTGCTTGCGAACACTGCAGAGGCCCGTAGGATTACATTACAGCATTGATTGAACTTTCTAAAACCTAAATCCATTTCAACATAACCATACCGTTAACTGAATATTATATCGAAGAAAACTTGCATTTCAGAAGGAATTATGCAAGATCAGATATAAACGAAATGCTAGCTTTCTAGGGGCACTTTTTTTTGGGGGGGGGGGGCGGGGGCGGGTTCAGATATGTGCAGCTCTGTAGTTACTCTGTCACATTGGCAAATGGCAAGGACTAATGCTAAATTTTCTAGAACTATATTTACAGTACCGCTCAAGAAGATACTACAAAAACAAAAACTTAATCACTTTACAAAAAAAAACGTGCGAATCAACTGTCAATTAATTCTGACATGAACCTAAGTCGTTTTCGCCTGCGTGACAGAAACAGAGCTAACAGCTACCACCCTGAAACTGAAGAGCAATTCTGGGCCGAACACTTTGCAGCCTCCTCCCTGTCTCCTGAATCCAAGCGCGTCCCTCCCTTTTCCCTCCTCCATTACACCTCCTCAATAGTCAATACCCCCATCTCCTTGGATTGCATTGCCTTCTCCGTCCGTCGCGTTGCTCCGGTGCTCGATCGGTCTCCCCGCCCGGCCGCCAGACGACGCGCCACATATGAAGCCCCGCTCCTCGCGCGACGGCCATAATGCCGCCGCCGCCGCCGCGCTCCTCCTCGCGGCGCTGGTCCTCTCCGGCGACGTCCTGCCGGCGGTCGTGGCCGGTGGCGCCCCCTCGTTCAACTACAAGGACGCGCTCACCAAGTCCATCATGTTCCTCGAGGCGCAGCGCTCCGGCAAGCTGCCGCCCACCAACCGCATCAAGTGGCGCGGCGACTCCGGCATGGAAGACGGCAAGCTCGCCAACGTATACGTCGTCTCGCCTCGCGCCCTAGCTCGAACATCTCGCTAGCTGCATCTTCTAATTTTGTGAAATGGATCACTCGATCAGGTGGACCTGACTGGCGGGTACTACGACGCCGGCGACAACGTGAAGTACGGGCTGCCGCTGGCGTTCACGGTGACGACGCTGGCGTGGACGGCGATGGCGTTCGAGAAGGAGCTGAAGGCGGCGAGGGAGCTGGAGAACGTGCACGCGGCCATCAGGTGGGGCACCGACTACTTCCTCAAGGCGGCGACCAAGAAGGACCACCTGTGGGTGCAGGTCGGCGACCCCAACGCCGACCACCAGTGCTGGGTCCGCCCGGAGAACATGCCCACGCCCCGCACCCTCTACCAGATCAACGACAAGACCCCCGGCTCCGAGATTGCCGCCGAGACCGCCGCCGCCATGACCGCCTCCTCCATGGTCTTCCGCAAGGATAAGCCCTACTCCCGCCGCCTCCTCAACAAGGCCAAGCTGGTACATATATATATTCATTGATTTTCATCTGTTAATTTCTCTTATATAGTTAATTTGCATCTAATTAGCTACTACCTGATGACAAATGGAAATTCACAGCTGTTCCAGTTCGCCAAGACGCACCAGGGAACCTACGACGGCGAGTGCCCCTTCTACTGCTCCTACTCCGGCTACAACGTACGTCTCTGCATATGCATGCATGCAAAATTTATCAACGTAAAAAATTTGACACGTTATATATATTGTGATTGTGACTGCATCGATCAGGATGAGTTGCTGTGGGCGGCGACGTGGCTGTACCTGGCGACGAAGAGGCAGGTGTACGCGGACTTCATCGGGCACGAGGCGATCTCGTCGAGCGTGGCCGAGTTCAGCTGGGACCTCAAGTTCCCGGGCGCGCAGGTGCTCCTCGCGGAGCTCAACATGACATCCAGCGGCGGCCTCCAGAGCTTCAAGTCCCAGGCCGACAACTTCGTGTGCGCCGTGCTCCCGGACACCCCGTTCCACCAGGTGTCCATCACCCCGGGCGGCATGATCCACCTCCGCGACGGCGCCAACTCCCAGTACGTCACCAGCACGGCCTTCCTCTTCGTCGCCTACAGCGACATCCTCCGCCGGATCAACCAGCCGGTGATGTGCGGCGCCCAGGCCGTGCAGCCCGCCCGCCTCCTCCAGTTCGCCAAGCAGCAGATCGACTACCTCCTCGGCGCCAACCCGCGCGGCCGCTCCTACGTCGTCGGCTTCGGCGTCAACCCGCCCACGCAGCCGCACCACCGCGGCGCCTCCACCCCGGTGCTCCCCCCGGGCTACCAGGTCAACTGCGGGATGAGCTTCAGCGAGTGGTTCACCCCCGACCGGCCCAACCCCAACGAGCTCACCGGCGCGATCATGGGCGGCCCCGACGGCGGCGACAACTTCTCCGACAAGCGTGGCAACTCGTCCTGCACCGAGCCTTGCACGTACATCAACTCCCTCTCCATTGGCCCCCTCGCCGCCCTCGCCATCCGTGGCCCAAACCTCATCGCCACCCAGTAATTAATCACCATTATTATACACTGATTAATTACTGCTAAATTAACTAAAGATATTGAGTATATTACTATATTACTCCTCCTCCCCTGTATTAAATCTCGACGATATATACAAATTAATTTGTTGATTAATCGGAATCGAAATTAGAGCTGATGCATGCATGGACACGTGAGGTGATCGATCGGGCACACGATCGATCGATGACACGAACGAACAATTAATAACGCGAGAAAGGGCTCGCGCGAGTTGTTGGGGTAGGTCTCGGCTGGTCGTTAGGTTGGCCAGCTTATTTCTCGTTGCACGCACGCACGCACGTACGTACGCAGGCGCGCGCAACCGTGTGTAAGTGCGTGTGTGATGGATCGATCAACCGAGCGGCGCGCACGGGCGAATACGAACTTTTCCAAGTGATGAAGTGATCACGTATACACGTAGTACAGCAGCCGAGCTTTTCGGTGAGCGTGTACGACGTGTTTTTTTCATTGGACCGAACATAAAACATGTCAAGTACGTACGTGGTACGTTTGGTTAATGCATAAATGTATTTGTGGTTCTTCAAATCCCGTGCTCAGGTATGAATTAATTAATCTAGCTAGCTATATGGTGTACTATCTTGTACGAAGAAGAACATCTCTGATGCTGTATATCTTTGTGATGTATACTACACGCACAATAAATTATCTAGTTTGGTGCTATCATTTTATTGTGTCCTTCTCGTTTTTTCAAAATTTTAATTTATTCGTAACATTGTGTATGATGTGTGAAAACTATAATAATTGGTTGTAGCTTTTATTAAAGTAAAGACCCGAATTCTCATTATCTAAAAAAAACATTGTTGATCAATATCTTGATATCCCCTTTATTATACATCAGCTTTGGAGAGAAGGAAAAAAAATACATGTATTTATTTGACAATTGGTTTTCTGAATTACAAAAGGGGTCCTTGTCCAGTTGTCTTGAACTATAACCTTCCATTTTTTGAGTTCATTTTTATCATTTCTAGCACAAATAATAAATTGTACTAAATCAACCCCATCTGCAACCATTAGATCAGTAACCAACACCACCAGATAATGCCTACTTTACCAACACCACTAACAAAACCATTAGGGGAATAGGTGTACTTGTGGTAAATGAGGCAGTGATGCAGCGCAAAGGCAGGTACCAATTTATCCTTACAAAAGTTAAAATCACAAAGGTGGGTGACCTTGATGAACATTAGTTAGCAATGTACCGCAAAGAAAACATTAGGTAGCAATGAAGACAATCACTCTCTTAATAATCTATATGTTGTTTGCACTTAAGTTGTAATGTAAGTAACTCTTGGATTTAAGCATACGTTAGATTCTGCTGAGATAGACATATATTTATTCGACCGAGCTTAGTCAAACTATAGATGTTGGAATAAAAATGCTCGATTTATTTTAGAACTAACTCATTGGTGGATGATTGGGATTGGTTGTCGATTTGTCGTAACGAATTTATTGGATTGGATGGGATTGGTTCAATTTCGCTTCTATGTCCAAAATTGCATCGTCTTCTACTTTAACGGTATTAGCTTGGCATGTTGTTATTTGGCACAACTCTCTATTAAAGTCGTGTCCTTTCGGCTATTGGGTACCAATCTAGAGTCATGTCTCTTTTCACTTGTTTAATATATAATCTCTCAAATGGAGTGCATATCATTGTTTTTCTTTACGGGTTATCTAAATGTATGAGAAATTATTTAAAGCTAAAAAAAGTTCGGGGCAAATCTTTACTTATATATTACTACTCCATCTTTCTTTGCACATTTGCAAACTCAGGCAGAAAAGGGAAATAAAAAAGGGAATCAACCTGCCCTCCTTTTGCAGCATAAATACCCAACCCATCACTCCACAAAGAAAAAAAAAAGCCACTCTCTCGCGATTTCCCTAGTCTTTCGGTGTGCGTGCGCGTGTGAAGGCGAGCAAGCGAGCGAAAGCGAAAGAAGCAGCAAGCAGCAAGAGGAGGAGGCGGAGGCGGCCTCCTTTGCATGTGAGGAGAGAGAGGAGGTGAGGTGAGGGGGGCCATGTCGATCGCACTGGAGAGTGGGCCCGGGCTAGGAGGAGGAGGAGGGGGCGGCGGCGGGCCCCGGTTCGGCCGCGTCGCCCGCTGCGCCTACGCCGCCTCGCCGCCGCCGGCGTCGGTGGGGGCGCGCAGCTCGTCGTCGGTGGGGAGGGACAGCGACAGCCCCGCGGCGGCGGCCAAGTGGGAGTGGGACGGCGAGGAGGTGGAGGGCGGCGACGGCGAGGTGCAGAGCTCGTACAAGGGGCCCTTCGACACCATGGACGCGCTCCAGGAGGCCCTCCCCTTCAGGTATGGCTGGCTTCCCCTCCCCGCCCAATTCGTCGTTACCCCCACGGATCTTGATCGGTCCCGAGGTGTTCTTGCGTTTCGTTTGGGTGATTTGGGGGTAATGCGGGGTAGAAACCGCTGTTCTTGATCCCCCGGTGCGCGTGTTCCTCTAGAGAGATTTCGGGGGTTTCTTGATTCGTTTGGACCAATGCAGTGGAAAATACTGGTTCTTGATCGGTTTTAGTTGGGGAATGTAGGCAAGATTCTTGGTTCTTCGTGGACGGTTAGTGGTCATGGAGTAATTTGTATGGAGCGGTTTGGTTATCTATCCTTGAGTCGATGCTTATCTTGGAATTTGGGGGATTTATTGGTCGGACTGAAGTCAAACTGTTAAAAGAAAGAAAGAAAGAAAGAAAGAGCTAATTTAGGGTTCTAGGTGATTCTTTGTGCCGCCTTACATCCAACAAATTTGTGAACATGGGTTTCGATCGATTCGTGAAGCTGGGATATTTGAGGTCGGAAGAATACAGCGAATGCACTGGATGCCGGGATACTTTTGCGTATGGTTTCGTCATGCTTGCTTATTGTTGGTTCATGTTTGGGTTATACCCATAACCCATTAGGGGTCGATTATATTTTTGTAAGTAGTAGTCCTTAATGTTCTTGCCATGCCCTTAAAATCTTTATGCTGAATGTTCTGAGCACGAAAGGTTCTGATTAGACAATTTCTAATGCGTTTGTATAGGCTTCAGCAAGAATGACTTGTGATTAGTACTACTTTGTTGGTGTTTCACTTCATTCTTACTCCGAGGAATCAAAGGATCCTAGCACTTGAATATTTCATTTGAAGTCCATGCCATCTTATAATTTCAGAAGGGCACATTAGTTGTACTAACACTGAAAGACCAATTTCCATGATTCATAGTTCCTTTGGTATGTGTTGATACTTGATATTGACTATATAAGCGCAGTATTATGGGATGAAATCACACAAAACGGGTTTTATCAGAATTACAAAAAGTTCTATGGTGTATTAATGGTTGGGTTTCTTTGTTAATGATCAATACAATAGATGGTGTAAATTGCAGATATGTGCATCTTTGACAAAAGCAATGAATAATCTATCTTCTAGGTTGGTCGTAGTAATGACTTTGAGTTTGTTCGTTTGTGTTCTTGCAACCTGACTATTGTGTACAGGGGGGGTAGGCATAGCTCTGAGATCAGTTGATGCATATTACCTTCAGGCAGTAATATTTTTGTCATGAAGATATCATGAATTGTTATAATTTTTGCATAGGGACATTTTTTTTTTCTTTTGAGCATGCACAACTACTGTACAATTTCGCTACTGCTATTTGAATTCTTTCAGTACTAGTGTAAGTCTAGCACAACTACTTAGTAGCTGAGTGGGTTTGTAGTTCATACTACCAAGTACCTATTGGCCCTTGTCACTTGTAGTCGCATAGAATTGTGCATTCTAGCCATATGATGGAAGCAGAGATTGGGTATTGTGAACTTGAAGTCTTGAACACAATTCAATATGGCTAACATGATTAACACAGGAACAGGATCAGTCAGACACCACAATCTTTTTCACATGCTTTTGTTAGCTATCTTGTAGCATGTGTAATTATTTGTTGATCTGCAACATTAAAATATTCCGCAGCCTGTCTCTATCGTTGATCTGGCAAACTTGTTTGTCTGTTCCTTGTGAGGAGCATGTGTACTGCTGATGTTTTCCAAGTCTTTGCTCCAGCATCTTACAATCTTCTGTTTTATTGAGTAATTCTGTTCTTATCTATTGCAGGAAAGGGGTATGCAAGTTCTACAATGGCAAGTCTGGATCTTTTGCAAAGCTTCAAGATTCCGTGATCCCATCTCCACCTGAGAAAAGTCTTCCAAAGCCAGAAAACCCATCCCCTAGGAAGCGGAAAGGTCTTCTTCCGTTCAGTTTCAAGTGGGGCAAGCCACAGAACAAAGAGGTATTCCCTGAAGATGATGTGATCATCAGCCCTACAAATTGCAGGAGAATGACATTGTCACCAGCTGCAACAAGCAGTTCGGGGAGCAACAGCGGCAGTGATGATGAACACTACCGCTCTCCGAAGCTGCATACCCGTCAGCCACTCCGAAGGCCCAGCAATGCCGCCATGGGTGTCTTTGCTTCTCCACCTGCACCTCGTCCACCGCAGGTGTTATCAGCTCATATGAGATCACACTCGATGCTTGATCTGCAGGATGTGACAGAGTCGACCGCCATGGTTTCTCCCAGGGACAAGCGAAGGAGGAACTAGGAAGGGTGGATCTTGATGTGTTGTCGGTCTGGTCCAACCGCTGGTGCCCATTTTAGACTGCGGAATCCAGTGGCGAATGCCGTCGTGGTGGTAGGGCGCGTGCAATGCTTTAGGGGGGTGGGGGGTGTTTTGCGAGGTCAAATGGACTCGTATTCATAGAGCTTGCTGTTCTCCTTATACTTGATGTACTGGGATACATACAGAGAACCTGAGAAACTGATGTCGTTACCTGAGTTGGTGGGCTGCATGCGTTGATTACAGGTTGACTTGTAAATGCTGAACTCTGCTTTTGTCGATTATAATTCAATCATGTGGCCTGCTCTATTACATTTTGTATACCTCTCTGATCTGTGGTATCTCACCCTTGGAACTGTATCAGTATGCATATTATGTCCTGAGCTGTTGGTGTTCTTCTGTTGCTAGTACAACTGTACAAGTAGCAGCAACCTCTTCCGATGAACTTATCTGTGCAGATCCATCACTTTTTTTTTTAGAACATGCAGATCCATCACATAGTTTTGGATAAATCATTCTGCTCTTATGGGTACTGGTGTGCAAAGCGCAAGGATTTTGTTTTTTTGGCAGAAGATAATCTATTGCAGTACACACGCAGATTGTGTGAACGCCTTGGCAAATCCTGTTGGTCGGTTTCGTACTTTCATCTTCTGTTTTCGTGTTCGGAAGAGATTGCAGTGGCTGTGCAGCCGCAGCAGCTCCATCAAACGCAACAAAATTTCTACGGCTTTGTACTGTAGATACAGCCCAGCTGCGCCACAGCCGAGCAAGCTGCAAAGCAGCACAAGCGATTTGGTGGCACATGATTGCTGCTCTCGTTAATCTGACGCCTTCGGTAATCGGAACCTCCCACTCACAGCTGAAATTTGTTGTTTTCTCTATGCGTAGATCAAAACTGATCTTTCATATTTGTGTAAGGACATTTAAGACCTACTTCACTTTGTATTATTTAATTTTTATAAGATTTTAGTTAACTATTTGGACCACATGGACTAAATCTTAAAGCCCACAAATCTTGATAAGGCAAAATTGTATAAAGCACCCCAATTATCACTCGTTTTAAAATCTCCTCCCTTAAAAAATTCAATTCGTTGCAAAGGCCCACCCAACCAAACCCCTTCACATGAATATAAAGTCAGCCCGACCCCGCTGATGTGTAGTCGCAACAGGGGAACAGAGCTTGACCTTAGCTACTCTCTCTGTCCCAAACAGGGACGGAGCCAGCATTTTGAATCACTGGGGTCATGGCTTTTACTTGTATTTATGTCGTGTTTGAAACTATAATTATTCTCGAAGCTAGATATTTTTAGCTCACTTTTGAGCTAGAGCTATGAGTAAGTTGGGATTGTTCCATTTTGCTAAAAATAAATATTTAAAGTCTATTCTATAAGAACTTCTGAGGTTTTTAAGGTCCAAAATTTTAAAAGTTATGACTACATATAACCGGGCATAACAACCATGTGTTTTTTCAGACATACAAGTATGTTCTGAAAGTTGTTTATTATTCCATCTGTCTCAAAATACAACTACCTACGTCTTTTTAAGAGATTAATGTTAGGGTGTGAAATTATTGTGATTGGTTGGGAAAAAAAAGTAGGTGAAAAAAATTATATCGAGGAATTTTGTGATTGGAGATGGGATGGTTCATAGAAAATAGCTATATTTTAAAGCAAATTTGAATATTAGAAGTAACATATTTTGAGATAGAGTGAGTAACTTAAAAAACACATCTAGTAGTTGATTAGCAAAACTTCAGGCCTAATGCATTGATATACATAGCACATAGCTAAAATAAGTAGTTGGTTAATAGATCAAATATGTCTAATTGCAGCATTAGTAGCGGATTGACAGTAGCATAACACAGCTAACAAATTATGCTTCCAAAGAAATAAACGGTACAATTGTTTCAGCCTTCCTGAGCTCCAGCAGTTTATCAGGCTGGCCGGGGTCATTAAGCTTTTGTTGCTGGGGTCATTAGCTACAAAATAATGAACAATTCACTTGATTGATCGAATGTCATCAGGGTCTAATGACCCCAATGATAGTACTGCAGCTCCGCCCCTGATCCCAAAATATAAGCATTTTTAGCTATGAATCTGGATAACTGTACATTTAGATTTATAGCCAAAAGTTATTATATTTTAGGACGGATGTAGTAATTGCCTATACTGATTCGCCGCTACCCTCAGCCCTCGCGTTGTTCGAGACCGTCTTCTCTCTTTGATCTACACCTAGGACTAGGTTCAAATGGATGCACCTGAAACCAAACGTGACCCATTGGTCTGGTCTTTTACGGGTACAAGTCACGGGCTGACTCAGCTATTTACACACGTGGAGGGTTTGGGTGGGTGGGTTTTTGCAACAAATTGGTTTTACTAGAACTTTAGGCGCGCTTCGGGCCGCCCTACCGTTTGTTATTGGTAAAAAGTATCACAAGTCAGAATATGTATGTACTTATATTGGTAAATGTTGAGTACGAAAGGACTTCATTCTAGCACAGGCTGTGACATAACTTGAATTCCGATGTTACATGATGATTTGAAATAGACCCTGAATACTATAAGATAAAAAATACCTAATAATTTCAGAAACCACAATTATTTATCATACCCAAAAGAGCAAGAAAAGGTATAATAATGTACTTAAAAAACGGTTTAATCATTCATCCTCTTTTAAAAGAGGTTAATTCAGTTCCATTACGGGGCATGAATCACAAGTTGTAATGTGAAGGACTGTGTTTGCAATCACTTAAGAAAATAAATATTCTTCAATCGCACATGGGGACTCTCAGAATTTGTATGCACCAGGTTTCTGGTTTTCGTTGCTTGCAAAATTAAGTTGCTAGCAATCCTGGAAGCTGAGTAGACACTTTACTGGTGTGCACGCGCGCACGTTTAATGTGACATGGAGATTATTACAGGCAGCACACTGTGGAAATGGCAGAGTTAGGTATAATGGTAAATCCCTTTTTCCAGAATTATCAGCTAAAATCCACTGCTAGATGCTCCCTCAATCATACCAGCTTACAAAAAACGTCTTTCGGACTAATCTCTGCTTGAATATCTGGTATTTGGTACATAGGCCTAAGAAAAAAATCAGAGAGAATTGTCCATGTTCTGATTTGTGATTCTGACTTCTGCAGTTACTAAACATAATCCAAACAAAAAAGAAAATATTTTCTATGTTCTGTAATTTGAGTCTTAATTCAGATTAGATTGACCTGAAATCTAAAGAGGTCATGAATATTCAGATTTTGCATTTGATTCTCTGAGATTATATCAAACAGCTAGATGACACCTTAAAAAACACAATGAAGCAGAACCATCCAAACCCTGTCCTGACCACCTCCTTAAAATATGTAATGGAGCAGAGCGACCCACAGTGGTTTCATGAAGTGAACATCTAAGCTTTGGTTGTTGGAACTATATACAAACACAACCAAATAAAAAGATATGCAGTACAAATCAGAAATACTGTAGCATTCTTGATAAAAAAAAAGGGTAGACTATCATTTGCAAGGGAATAATGGTATATGAAAAAGCAAAGCTAGCGAGGGAACTGGAGGCAGGAAAGGGAAGATACATGCCAAGCATACATAAGTGAGTGTAGAAAGGAACTGGTTGTGGCTTAACTCACCAAAATTGACCATGGGAAACAAACTGCAAATGGACCCTGGGCAAGGCAACAACACATGGTTCCAATATCACCAGATATGGAATCGCTAAACAGTGGTGGTGCCGCACGGCCGACGGAGCTTCAAGCTAACCAACACCTACAATATTGGCAAACTTGAGCACCTTCTATGGCAGCAACCAATCCTTTTTATACAGATAAGACAAAATCAATTATCATATTTGATATTCATATTTATAATTAGATTGCATTCTTTTTCTCTTTTTTGAAAAAAGATTCCACTTATCTAGTGACCAACACTTCAAAGTATCACCTAGAGTAGAAGGCAAACTGAAGAGAAAAACATTGATTTTAACAATCTTTCACCTTCTTGTACATAGAAACACAACTGTGATGTACATTAATCAACGTTTTCATTAGCCGATGAGGACGGTAATTTTAACAGAGCTAGGATGATGCAAAATAAATGGCTCAGCAAAAAAGAGTAAGTTGTGTTTTCTAGGCAAGAAGTTTTTTGGATTTAAATCAACAGCAACTATGAAATTGTAAGTCCCTTAAATATAATTGCATGAAAGCACATAAACCATTTCTTGCATACTTAATTAAACTCCTACTTTGAAACATTGATATGGTGCTCTGCAATAGTTCTTTCAATCTTGCAACTAATGTCAAGCAACTTTGTTATGGCCTTCTTGTTCCATGATTCAGGTGGCCTTGTAATGCTAGTATATGACCTTCCCATCGAGAAAATACTTAGTTAATGAGGAAGAATATCCAAAGTAAGACCAATTTCAGAATATCAATTAGACATCTAAATGAGGCCATATGATAAAGTGCGTGCAGTAAAAGAGGATTTCTTTTTTTATCATATTAACAAATGATCTGTACAGGTGCTACAGCCTCTAATCCTCCCATGAATAGTTTAGCTTAATTAGTTTATTCTACTGTGCACCCATGGTAAATTTTTAGAAAGGCTAAATATCACGTCAACAGTGAACATTAGAACAGTCACTGACAGTTGCAATAACATGGAGTATGTGCATGAGGATAGCTAAGGATAATGGATTTAGGACAAGGTTCTATGAACCATCACATGATGTTCATGTGAACAAATGCACGTAAGTTCCTATTATGCTGCATCGAAAAAGGCAAGAAGCAACAGAAGAACTTGGAAATCTGGAAGAAGCAAAGAAAATAAAGGCAAAGGCAACAGAAGAAGATCACCTGTTCAAAAATATGAAATGTCATCCCAATTGCCTTGTGGAGGTAGCAACAAATAGACACTCAACATTTAGTCATGAAATCAATGGCATCTTGCTTCACAGCGTCCTATCATTTATTGAGAGCAATATAAACCAGAAGTATATATTGTACTAATATAAATTGAAGAGTACCATAACAAACTTTATATGCCCACGATCATATCTATGACTGTACATAACAATGCTATTCAAACCTGAAGAAAAATCAGACATTCATGATAAGGCTCATAGTATCCTCTAGAATCAGATCAAGTCCAAAGATAGTCATTCAGATCAATCGATAATTTTTTTGATTAATTTCAATTGTAAGTGGTCAGCTCAAAGTGTCACAGCATTTACATCATTCAATATTAAGTTCTGGAGGTCTTCATTCCAACACAGATTGTCACAACACCTGAATTCTGACATTTGTGTCACTTTTAGGAATAGTGGTTGAATTCTTCAAGATAGAAATCACTAAAGAGTTAGTTCAGAAATTATGAAAACTTATCATGCTTAACAGAGAAAGACATATCAATGTATATAATCAAAGATGATTTTAGTGAGATTCAGTTTCTTTAAAAAAAGCTAATTTAGTTCCATCATATGCAAAACTAAATTTATATGTTGCATCTCGTGTAGCTGAAAGCATGAATACCAAGATAGAAGCATCCGCTTATGTGAATGAAGATAAAGGAATTTATAGAACAACCTTCGCTAAGAATAATTCCCAAGAAACTAAATGATTTCTAGATTTGGCAATAGAACGGTCAGTTGATCATCCAAAATACTCCTCAAAGAACTAAATGTGGCATCCAAAACTCTTCTTTCACTCAAAAGAAAAAGATAATACATCTATTGAAATATAATGTGAGAAGTAATCAGTTAAACTACCGTAGATGTGGGTGTCCTAAAGAGTATGTGGCCACAAAATCTGACATCATGTTCACAAATTTCTAAAGATTGGGTATAAAATGATACATCTTAAACTGCAATGCAACTGCTTAGCATAGTATAAGATGAGAAAGCATAGCCACAAGGTTGCTAGATAGCCAAATCTACTTCACATATTAGGAAGAAACATGCCCCCTATAGTTTTGACATACCTGAGCACCATATATGGTAGCAACCAACCCTTTTTACATGAATAAGACAAAAGGAGTCATCAGATTTGATATTTATAATAGGATGCACTTATTACTCTCTAAAAAAAGGTTCCACTTATCTACATGCATAACAATACCTTTGTAGAGAATAAATTATATCCGATGAAGAGCTATAGAAATACAATGCATATTTAAGCTGAAAGGAGCATAGAGGACACATACACATTAACAACGTACAACACCCACTAAACCTCTTTGATTACATCAAGCCACTGAATTATCAGTTATAATCTCCCTCAATCATACAAGCTTACAAAGAATGTTTTTCAGACTAATATCTGCTTGAATATCTGGTATTCGGTGCACAATCCCAAGCCAAAAATAAAACACAGAGAAATTTTCTTGTTCTGATTTGTGATTCGGACTTCTGCAGTCGATCTACACATGCGGCTGTTCTTCGTTCGCGTCATTGTGAAGCAATCAAGCAGTAGCATCATATTGTCCACATCGTCGTCGCCGATCTGGAGGGCATGGCCGACCCGATCTCCACCAGCACCCCAACGTCGTTGGTAGGCCGCGCCGCCCGCTGGTCGTCGGCCTCACCTGGTGCGAGGTCGCCCCGACGCTGCCGGTGCCATCTCCATCAAGCTCCGCCGGCGTCGTCAAGGTCGTCGCGGCGTCATCGGTGCGGCACAGGGTACGAGGGAACCCGTCCCTACCGGCTCCTCCTCTGCGGCCGCCGCCGCCTGGGGAGCTCGTGCCCGCCGCAGCCGCCTACGCCTGCAGGCCGCCGGTTCACCGTCGATGCATCCTCCGCCATCCACGCTGCCGCCCGGATCTGGATGTCATCGTCGTTGCGGTCAATCCCATCTCGCCGAGCTCCGGCCTCGCCGTCGTCACCATCTCCACCCGGCCGGATGACGCCGGCACCTGCCTCGCCGTCTCCTGTGCCGCTGCGGGGGGACTCGCCTCCACCGCCGACGTGTGCGGGTCGCCGCTGCCCGGATTCCTCGCTGCCCCTCCTGGGACTCCACGATGGGCGCCCGCCGGTCTCCGCCGCGTTGCTCCCGGCGGCGCCCCGACACCGCCGCCGCAGGGGGGACGGATTCCGCCCTCACCGAGCACGAGCTCCCTCCACCGCCTCCCGCCGTCCGCCGCCTCCCGCCATCTGCCTTGCTGCGCCGGCGCCCTCCGTCGGCCCGATGCCTCTGGCTCCTCTCATAATCTCCCAAATCAAGCGTCGGGGCCAGAAGATCGATCCCCACGCCATCAATCTCCATCACAGCATCCTCGGAGCTAGCGCAGCACCATCCAATCCCCTGCTTGACCTCACAGAGAGAGGAAGAGAAGGGAGCAAAGGTGGGGGGAGCGCCAGGAGCCCAGGAGATGGAGGAAGGCGGGGGAGAGCGCGAGGGATGTCATCTGCGATGAGGAGAAGCGGGTGAGGGGGAGGGAAGACGATGCAGCACCGGCGGCGCCGCAAAGGCAGGGGAAGAGCAATCGAGAGAAGGGTGGGGTACAATGGCGGCTAGGGTTTCGGAGAAGCGAGGGGATGGAGGATGGGGATGTTTTCTTTTGCAAGAAAACCCTCTTACTTTCTTGTTTTAGAGCGCGCCCCCTATATTCGGAATTTCTTCTCTTTCACATATAATAATACCAGTATATAGAGGACCACTACGTAAGAATATAAAATACAGAGAAGTATGACCAGGCAGTTAGGAATGATTATCAAAGAAAGTGAGGGTTTTTTTGCAAAATTGCCAGCTCTAGCACAGGGTGACGTGGATATCACCGGAAGCGAACACGCCAGCCAAAAAAGCCCCGGAGCGCTGTGGTGGCTCTATTTCGCGGTCCCCTTTAATCTCTCCGATTTAATCTCTCCGATGGTGGAATTTTAAAACAAGAGTGATAATTGAGATGGTTTATAAATTTTTATCTCCGGATAGTGATACTATGTGTCAATATATAAATAGTTTTCAGACACGTGAATACAATTACGATGACGATGATATCCAATCACAGGCTCTACCTACTAAAAATCTGCTTACCAACCAGTACGAGGCGTATATTTCATACTCCCTCCGTCTCATAATATAAGAGATTTCGAGTTTTTAATTGCAACGTTTGACCACTCGTCTTATTCAAATTTTTTTTACAAATATAAAAAATGAAAAGTTGTGTTTAAAGTACTGTAGATAATAAAGTAAGTCATAAATAAAATAAATAATATTTTTAAAAAATTTTGAATAAGATGAGTGGTCAAACGTTACAAGCAAAAAATTAAAATCTCTTATATTATGGGACGGAGGGAGTATATTTGCATGGTATCAGTGACACATAGTACTAGAACAAAAATAATTGAATCCCTCGCACAGATAGGCAAACCCTGCAGTAAGTTGTATATATTCGGCTGCCCTGGCCTCCCCACTACCTCCCCACAGATGACAGAATAGCTCATCAAACCTAAGTTTAATTAATTGCCAACATTCTCATGGTCATCAAACCAATGGGCAAACCACTCGTAGTCATACTCTTGCTATCCTCCTCCCTCCTCGCCGTTGCAGCTGCTGCAGCATCGCCGCCGTCATCAACAGCAGCAGGCCATGCAGGCGAGCCAGACGACGACGTTGTGTCCACCTACATCGTGCACGTCATGCCCGCACACGCGCCACGCCGCCTTCCCACGCACCGCGCGTCTCGTCGTCTCACCCGCGGCTACGCATCGCTCGTCCGCGGGCTCCTCCCGCGGCACATCGCCGACCCGGCTCCGCGACTCCTCTACTCCTACGCGCACGCCGCGACGGGGTTCGCGGCGCGCCTCACGGCACGGCAGGCCGCGCACCTCGAGGCGCAGCCTTCCATCGCGGCCGTTGTCCGCGATACGGCCTATCAGCTCCACACCACATGGTCCTCCGACTTTCTCAACCTCTCGCCGTCTTTTGGGCTACAGGCGGAGTCCAACGGCGCCGTAGACGCGGTGATTGGTGTCATAGACACGGGTATATATCCGAAAGACCGTGCGTCCTTTGCACCTGACCCATCTCTGCCCCCAACACCGCCTCCCACCTTCCGTGGTAGTTGCGTGTCGTCGTTTCGTGATTCCAATGCCAGCGCTTACTGCAACAACAAGCTTGTGGGAGCAAAGACGTTCTACCGGGGATACGAGGCACAAAATGGGCCAATAGATGAGAGGGTGCAGACCAAGTCACCGCTAGACCAGGAATCCTAATTGACGCGTACGCGCCGGCCCACACGGCCCAAGACATGGTTAGTTCTTTTTTCCGAATTTTTTCATATATGTATAAGCTTTTAACCCATATTTGAATACTTTCAACTCTGACTTAAAAACTTTCAACTCAGATTCGAAAACTTTCAACTCGAGATTCGAAAACTTTCAAATCAGATTTAAAAATTTTCAAAAGTTATAATTAAAAAACTTTCAACTCAAAACATTTTGAAAAAAAAATACGTGTGCTAAAGATTTTAAAAAAGTAATCAGAAAAAAAGAAAAAAAAAGCTAAAAGAAAAAATAAAAAAAAACGAAAAAAAAATCGCGAATAAAAAAAAAGGCCGATGGGCCTTGTGGGCTGGGGGAGGGGGGGGCAGCTGGCGCGCGCGCGTCAGCTAGCAACCCCCCGCTAGACACCATAGGTCATGGCACTCATACTTCTTCCACTACAGTCATGCTGTCCCGAATGCCAACCTCTTTGGTTTGGCCAATGGGATTGCCAAGGGCACGGCCCCAGGTGTGCGTATAGCCATGTACAAGGTATGTTGGGAATATTACATACCCGAATGCATTACCACTGACATCCTTGCGGCCTTAGATGAGACGATTGCTGATGGCGTTGATGTCATCTCCATCTCACTTGGTAGGCCCGGCTAAATTTTATCTCTATATTTATTTAACAAACGTGATGATTAGGAGAGACGATATATCCGAAGATATTGAGAAATTTTCACCTGATAATAATGCAGCCACTAGGCTCAAGTAATCACTGCTAGTGTACTACTCACGGTCACATACATGGGCAATAACACACGACAACTCGTCTCTTTGGCCAGTTCATGTCGTTGTTTCTTCGCGTCAGGGGAGCAAAAAGTCATTAGCTGTTCACGTTCAAAATACTCGAACAAGCGAGTGCCATGGATTTTTCGTTGGTTCGTTGTCAGTTCGAAAGGATTACAACGAGTAGAGGCGCGCACATTCGTGCCTTCATTTTTCGTTGGCTTTTACTGTAGCAACAGAGATAGATTGACAAGCACGTAAAATTAATTCTGATGCGCGAGTCCATTTCAATTCTAACTTAGGGCGACTCGTTTTCACACGAGTAATTAACTTAGGGCCAGATATCCTCGTCCCTGCGAGTCAATTTCATCGTATCGCGCACTGTAGATTGTACCGAGGATTGCAACCACAGCGACCAATGGAGGGCTGCGTAGCATTTTCCATCTGCAATTGACACGCATGAAAAATCCCACTATCAGATCATCAATCCGACGGGTCCAGTAATACCAACCTGCCTGTCAGCTAGCTATGAATGATTATTATTCCAAGCACGTGTTTATTTGCGTCATATCGCATCAAATAATATTAGTGAATGATTGAATTTGGCGATGCGGATGGGGGAATATCAAAAAGAAAAAAAAATGCTAAATATCTGCTACCTCCGTACCATAAAAAACGAATCTAAAATCGGATGTGACATATCCTAGTACTATAAATCTAAACATATGTATGTCCAGATTCGTATTATTAAGATATGTCACATTCAATACTATGTTGGTTTTTTATGGGACGGAGGGAATAGCTGTAGAATTTTCCCATTAAGAGTTTGTAACATGACGACCTATAAATCTACATGCTCCCTGGTTAATCTACAATGAGATTGTGAACAATGACATACTCCCATGTCGTATTTCTCGGTGATCTGGGAAGCAAAGGCACGTCTCCCCCACCTCATCAGCGCGGCTCGCCTGCCTCGCCACCGCCGACAACGCTGCCCCCTGCGGTGGTGGCCGGCGGCTGCATCGTCCCCTCCTTCCTCCCCTTTCCTCCCTCTCTCTTCCTTTCCCCTTCTTCCTTCCCTATCTTTCTCATTTCCTCTTTTTCTCCAGATTTGAGGTGACTCATGTGGACGTCGGTCCTGAGCTTGGCTCTCCTCCCCACGTCCGACGCCAACGGCCTCCCATCCCGGGCTAGCGGCTGCGTTGAAGATGGTGGGGGGGACGGTCAGATCTGGCCACCCTAGGTCTAGATCTGGCGTCTCTCTGATGGGATCTAGGTTTCTCTCTGGTGCGAGAGGCCAGATCCCCTGTTGCGATGATGGCCAGCGGTGCTAGTGATGGCAGTGAGGGGGACAGTTCGATCTGGTCCCTCTCCAGGTCTGGCACGTCCCAGGGTCGGGTGAGGCCGTCTGTTTAGCCATGTATTTGTAATATAATAGATTGTAACGTGTACTAACCACGAAGATAACGAGTTGTGTGCAATGTACCATGTTTGATTGGAACACTAATGTGGCCTTCTGCCATCATCGTGCATAGGAGCGGATCTAATAAGACATAACATGTGGGACTGAACAAACTTGAAAAACTTTAGCCCGGTCCTTTTCTATGGATGTATGACAAAAGGAAGATAGGGCTTATATGGAGGCTCTTATAGTCCCAACGTCAAAAGTAAGGGCTCGAGCCCCTCTGTCCCTATGATAGATCCGTCCCTGTTGTGCACCTCAAGCGTCGGAATGCCATCGATGGTGAATTCTAGTCATCCTTTGGAGTAAAGGATTTTTACGGGAATTGACTGATTTGTATGAGAATAATACAAAATTGATGTGTTGCAAAGAAGCCCTCCACCTTTGAAGACGGACGTGATTGATGGCTAGATCAAATTTCACAATGTTTTTTAATAGTATAACAAAAGCAGATAATATAAGGTCAAGGGAATACCTAAGCCTTTAGCATCAAGTCTTGGAACAAAAAATATTTGAACGGTTCTATTTGAGGCACCAATTTAGAATGTATAATAGAAGATATTGCCATCCAAATTAAAAGAAAGTCTAAATACACCCGTGAATTGCAGGTAATGTCCTGCTTTTTGTCAATTCTGCTTTAGGGCATTCCCAACCCAATGACTAGGATGATGTCCATAGCATTAAATAAGTTACCACCTAGGATAAAAAATAATGTGGCAAGTGAATAAATGAGGAAAGAGAAGGAAATCATGTCTTGCATGAGACATGGTTTCTACACAATATCCAAGACATCATGTGAGATAAATAGCATTAAATTGAAGTATGGAATAGTGGTGTTTGCATTGGAAGAGTAGTGTCTAGTACTAGTTTCTTGATGATGTGGAGTTTATGAAAACCATGTCTAGTGTTATGGGTTGGGATTGCCCTTAGCCTTACTCCCTCCTTTCCAAAAGATAAGCTGCCCACAATTTTAGAAAAAATAACATTTGTAACTATTAACTAATAGTAAGCTAATAATATGTATATGTAGAAACATGCATATCATATCTTTAGATTCATATTTTAAAATAGTTTCATATAATGTTAATATTAATTATCGATAATATATTGTGAAAGAAATTAACGTTTAAAATATAATATAAAAAATACGCATGTCTTGTAGTTTGGAACGAAGGTGAAGGGAGTACAAACAACTCTGTGGACTAAGCACATTACACACACCACCGTCATTACTTGTCTTACTAGCCAGAGGCCTTCCAAGGCCGGTAAGATGTATAAATTTGCTTGGCCCTCGCCTCCCACTGATCTCCACACACAAGAACTCACTAAACCGCTTAATTACTACCAACATTTGCATCACTGCATGATCACCCCAATGGCCAAACCACCAGCAACAACAACGCTCGTCCTATGCTGCCATCTCGCCGTGGCTGCCGCAGCAGCAGCGACATGGATAGGACATGACGATCAGCAAGACGACGACGTGTCCACCTACATCGTGCACGTCATGCCCGCGCACGCGCCACGCCTCGCCACGCACCGCATCGCCCGCGACCACTACGCCCCCTTCCTCCGCGAGCTCCTCCTCCCCCCGCACGTCGCCCGCCCGCCGCCGCGCCTCCTCTACTCCTACGCGCACGCCGCGACGGGGTTCGCGGCGCGGCTGACGGCGCGGCAGGCCGCGCACCTCGAGGCGCACCCCTGCGTCGCCGCCGTGGTCCGCGACGAGGCCTACGAGCTCCACACCACCCTCTCCTCCTCGTTCCTCCGCCTCTCGCCGTCTTCCGGGCTACAGGCGGAGTCGAACAGTGCCACCGATGCGGTGATCGCTGTCATCAACAGTACCATGCGTCCTTCGTATCAGACCCGTCTTTGTCCCCAACACCGCCTCCTACCTTTCGTGGCGAATGTGTGTCGACTCCAGAGTTTGATGCTAGCATCTACTGTAACAACAAGCTTGTGGGTGCAAAGATGTTCTACGAGGGGTACGAGCGTGCGAGTGGGAAACCGATCAACGAGACGGAGGATTCCAAGTCGCCACTAGACACGACGGGTCATGGCACCCACAGCGCTGCCATTGCAGCTGGCTCTCCTGTGTCGGATGCCAACCTCTTTGGCCTTGCCAATGGCGTTGCCAAGGGCACGGCTCCCGGTGCACGCATCGCCGTCTACAAAGTGTGCTGGAAAATGGGGTGCTTCGGCTCCGACGTCGTCGCCGGCATGGACGAGGCGATCGCCGACGGCGTCGACGTCATCTCCCTCTCGCTGGCTGTCAACCGCAAAAGAACTTTTGCTCAAGATCCCACGGCCATTAGCGGCTTCAATGCTGTCCGTAAGGGCATAGTTGTTGTTGCATCCGCTGGTAGCGGCGGTCCAAAGGAATCAACCGTCACCAACACGGCGCCATGGTTGTTGACAGTCGGTGCATCGAGCATGAACCGCCAATTCCAGACGATCGTTGTGCTCGGCGATGGCCAGACATTTTCTGGCACATCGCTCTATCTCGGCGATACAGATGGCTCCATGAAATCGCTTGTCTTTGGTGGTTTCGCCGGCTCAGCCGCTTGTGAAATCGGGAAACTTGATGCTACCAAAGTCGCTGGCAAGATTGTCCTGTGCGAGGCAGGACAGGTCTTGGATGCGGAGAAAGGAGTCGCCGTTGCTCAGGCTGGTGGATTCGGTGTCATCGTGTCTAGTCGTAGTAGTTATGGTGAGTATGCTAAGGCCACTGCCCATCTCAACCCAGGCACCACGGTGCCTAACGCTGCCGCATTGGAGATCTTGCGATACATGGCCAGGACACCATATCCAGTTGGTAAGATCCTCTTCTTTGGCACGGTGCTCAGCTCGTCGCCGAGGATCGCGTCCTTCTCCGCCCGTGGCCCGAGCCTCGCCGCGCCGGAGATCCTCAAGCCCGACCTTGTCGCCCCCGGCGTCAGCATCCTCGCCGCGTGGTCCGGCCTCGTCTCGCCAACCGAACTCGACGTCGACACGAGGCGCGTCAAGTTCAACATCTTGTCCGGTACATCCGCCGCGTGCCCGCACGTGAGCGGCGTCGCTGCGCTGCGCAAGATGGCACGGCCAAGCTGGATCCCTGCGATGATCATGTCGGCCCTGACGACGACGGCGTACGTCCAGGACAGCTCCGGCAATGCCATCGCTGACATGGCCACGGGCAAGCCGGCCGGGCCGTTCGAGCTCGGGCCGGCCATGTCGACCCGAACAGCGGCCTTGACCCGGGGCTCGTCTACGACGCCGGCGTCGACGACTACCTCGACGTCCTGTGCGCGCTCGGCTACTCCGACGAGGATATCGTCGGTATCTTCTTGAGGGACGGAACGATCACCAACTGTTCGACGCGGGCGAGCACCACCGTGGCGGACCTGAACCGCGCGTCCATCTCGGTGGCGGTCAAGGCGTACGGCGACGATATCACGGTGCGACGCACCGTGCGCAACGTCGGCGGCAGCGTCGACGCCGTGTACACCGTCGGCGGGGTGCCACCGCCGGGCACGCAGCTCCGCATCAGGCCGTCGAAGCTGGTGTTCGACGCGGAGCACCAGACGAGGACGTACGACGTCGTCATCCGCACGGTGTCCTCCGGCAGCTTCGACGAGTACACGCACGGTTCCATCGTCTGGAGCGACGGCGCGCACAAGGTGAGGAGCCCCATCGCCGTCACCTGGCCGCCGTCTCAGAGCGCCGCCGTCGCGGCCATTTGATCGAGCAGCTGCTCTAACCCTCTCGATCAATACGCATGCATGATCTGGCTACGATGTCCATCTAGTTTACAGCTTTGCTTTGCAGTGTGTAATGTTTTTTTCCGAATAAGCAGCTTGCTGCTTCCTCGCTAGTACAATAATCCCGGTGTGGTGTAATCCTACACTTTTGTATCGTGCATGCATGATAAATAAAATCGAGAATATATATCAATAAATCAATGGAGTATTCAGCCGAATTATACTGTTCAAGTAACTATTCCAACACTTTGTTTGCTTAGTTACGTTATTACAACTTTGCAAAAATCAAGCATGAAAGCAATTTTTTTTTAAAAAAAAGCGTACGTTCTGAAAATGCGGGTACCAGCTCAATGTCTTGCAAGCATAAAAGAGTTAAAAGACAATAAACTGAACCCAAGAAATAAATGCATGGTACCATATGGTCCAGCCTAGAAGCAACACAGATAATGGCAGCCTACCCAACATTTATTTGCTAGTAATACACTATTTCTCCCACCGTTTCAAATTATTGCATTCTAGTTTTATCTTGAATCGATCATTTGTATATCTGTCCATCAATTGTTAATAAATTGATAGTTTACCGCGAGAATAACTTTCATATTATTTATATTTTGCATGTTGTTGAATTCGACAAATTTATATTGTCAATGATAAAAATGTTTGTGTCGTGACCCAAGGTCATGGACAAGATTAGGGATAGACGGGAAAACACCCTTTTCCCGCCTATCCTGAGAAATGAGCCCGAATACAAAATAAACACACACTTTTACTGACAAGATTTTTAGTATTCCAATATGTCCTGTCTGCTACAGGTTTTTTTGTCAGCCTTATATAGTTCATAGATTTACATATGAGATTACAATTGTGCCCTTCGTTGGGCCCACATGAAATTACAATCGTGCCCATGCCATATGAGCAAACTCTAAGGGCATTTTGGTACATTATAGGGGTCATTATAGTTTTTGGTGCCAGCTAGATGGAGTGGTTGAGTGGTTCCCAGGAATATTCTCTTGGCATCTTTATTGTCCAAGTTGCCTTCTTCATGACCAAGAGTCTTTTCCATCACCATGGGTCTTCTCCACGACCGAGGGTCTTTTCCACCACCATGGGTTTTCTCCACGACCGAGGGTCTTTTCCACCACCATGGGTCTTTTCCATGGCATGTAGTCTTTTCCATCTCGATCATCCTTTCCGATTTACCTGGTAGCTGACCTGTTATTAACTTAGGAAATACCCAAAACGGATAATGAGACTTAGTGAGAAGAACTCACTCGAACGGTATTTTCCGACTCGAACAGTGTTTTCCAACTCGAATGGCATTTTACCGTTTTCCCTATTCGAATGACCCTTTGCCACTAGGATACTTATGATAAAAACTCAATCTTACCCAATCTCTTCCTCTATAGTGTTTTGGGCCGAATATGGAGGGACGGTGGTGACCCCTTGCTACAACAGTTTGATTTATGGTAAAACTAGAATGACAAGTAATTTGAAATGAAGGGAATTACATCTTATTCAGTACACCTATCTGATGAAATGAAGTCTAATAACTTCTAGCATGGGAATCCAGGTAATTTAGCATAAATAAAATTATTCACCACTCCAATCCAGTGAGTTACACATGTGCATAGCGATGAACAGGCAACCGATCCCTTCCATGAAGCCATGGGAGCACTAAGCTTCATGGAAGGATTTGGTCTCATGCGTGGAGATCTCTGTCCAAGAAGGACCTATACAAGCTGTCCCCATTGCCACCAAACCAGAAGACACCCAAATTTCCAACACTACTCTACATGGATGCTGCTCGGCCGTTCGACGGCCATGTCACGGCGATGGGGCTAGTGACGTCGTGCACGCCGTCGCTCCAGGTGACCGACCCGAAGGTGTACTCGGTGTCGACGATCACCGGGTTACCCGACGCGGCGATGGTGATGTCGTAGGACAGGCTCTGGTGGCTCTCGTCGAACACCAGCTTGCTTGGGCTCACCGTGACATCCACACCGGACGGGCTGTCGATCTTGGCTTCGTAGACGGCATTGGCGTTGCTGCCGACGTTGCGCACCACCCTGTGGTAGGTGACTGAATCTTTGTAGGAGGATAGGACGACGGCGAAGGCGGGGTAGTTGAGGTCCCCGGTGCGGGGGAATTTCGTCGAACAGTTGGCGACGGAGCCGTCTGTTGTGAAGAGGGAGATGATGGAGGGGGAGTAGCCGAGCGTGCAGAGGAAGGAGACGTAGTCTTCGGTCCCGGCGTCGTACACGAGGCCAGGGTCGAGCGCGCGGTTGGGGTCGACGTGGCCGGCGCCACGGACGAACGGCGTCGACTCGGTCCCGGTAGCCAGGTCCTTGATGACCGCGCTGGAGTTGTCCACGTTGTACGCCGTGGTCATGAGCGCCGACTTGATCGCCGCCGGGCTCCAGTCCGGTTGCGCCTGGCGGAGCAGCGCGGCGAGGCCGCTGACGTGCGGGCACGACATGGACGTGCCGGAGATGATGTTGAACTCCACGCGCCTCGGGTCGATGTCGAGGTCGGTGGGCGCAGACTCGCCGGTCCACGCCGCGAGGATGTTGACGCCGGGGGCAATGACGTCCGGCTTGAGGATCTCCGGCGCGCGGTAGTTGGGGCCCCGGCTCGAGAACGCCGCGACGCGCGGCGCGGACGGCGACTTCCCGATGACCGTGCCCCGGAACACGATGGTCGCCGTCGGCGACGGATCGCTCTGGACGTAGTACTTGATCTTGTCGCCGAATTTCTGCCCCACCATTGTCGCCGGGACGAGGTGGGAGTCGGCAACCAGCTCCTCGCCGCTCTCCGCCGTGTTCACCAGAATCATGCCGGCACCGCCGGCCACCTTCACTGCCCCGCCTTTCGCCACACGGGCGTTGCTCCCACGCTCACACAGAACGATCTTGCCGGAAACCTTCGCTGGATCGAGCTCGCCGATTATGCAAAGCCGAGACCCGCAGTCGCCGGCGTACACCACCGGGAGCAGTGTGGAGTTCAGGGGTTCGCCGGAGTACAGGGACACGCCGCCGTAGACCTGACCGTTGCCTAGAACCACATCAGCCGGGAATTCGCGGTCGATGGTAGATGCGCCGACGGTCAGTATCCATGGCGCGATGTTCGTCGCGGTGTACTCGCCGGGGCCGGAGTTGCCGGCGGACGCGGACACCACGATGCCCTTGCTAACGGCGTGGAAGGAGCCGATGGCGATGGAGTCGCGGAAGAAGCTCGGGGCGTAGCCGCCGGCGCCGACGGAGAGGGATATGACGTCGACGCCGTCCGCGACGGCCTCGTCCATGGCGGCGAGGATGTCGGAGTCGTAGCAACCGGACTTCCAGCAGATCTTGTACGCGGCGATGTGCGCCGCGGGGGACATGCCCACCGCCTGGCCACGCGCGTAGTCGAAGAACCCGGCGCCGGTCACCGGCGACCCTGCGGCGGTGGAGGCGGTGTGGGTCCCGTGGCCCTCGGTGTCCAGTGGCGACTTGGACTCCTCCGTCTCATCGATGGCGTGGCCGAGAGCAGCCTCGTATCCCTTGTAGAAGAACTTTGCGCCGATGAGCTTGTTGTTGCAGTAGGCGGAGGCGTTGAAGGAGGCGGTGGAGACGCATCCGCCGGAGAAGGACGCGGGCGGCGGGCCGAGCCCGTCGGTGGGCGCGAAGGAGCCGCGGCCGATGGGGTAGATCCCGGTGTCGAGCACCCCGACGATGGGTGACGACGCGCCACCGGAGGCGGCGGCGGGCAGGAGCCCGGAAGCCTGGGTAAGGTGGAGGAACGCCGGGGTATGGGTGGTGTGCAGCTGGCGCGCCTGGTCGGGGTGGACGGCGAGCACCCCAGGCTGCGCCTCGACGTGCGCCGCCTGTTCGGGGGTGAGGCGCGCCGCGACCCCCGTCGCTGCGTGCGCGTAGGAGTAGAGCAACCGTGGCCGCGGTGCGCGCAGATGGCGCGGGAGGCGAAGGAGGCGGCCGAGGAACACGGCGCCGCCGCCGCCGCCGACGCGCGTGGCCCTGAGCGCCGGGTGCTCGGGCGCGAGGTGGAGGATGTACGTCGACTGCTCTCTCGCGGCCGCCGCCGCCGGCGACGCGGCGGCGAAGAGGATGAGGAGCACGGCGGCGAGATGGCGGAGGGTAGCCATGGCGCACCGGGGGAGCGGATTGGATTGGTCGATGACTCGACGCCAATGCGGCCTGGAGAACTAAATAAGTGGTGGGCCCTTTCACCGGGTCTGGATCTGGATTGGCCAATGGCGATGCCGGCGTGGGCTCGTGGGATTCTTTACCCGTTCGGTCGTCGGGTTACTTTTGCGGCATCGGATTGGACACGTCGGGCCTCACAAGTCTAAGTATCTCATTTTTATCGATTTTTTCTCCGGTTTATCCGTGACTGCTGCTCCAGTTTAGGACCAGTTTCGTGCTCGTTTTCATCAGGATGTACTCTCACTCCGTCCATAGAAACTCCATTTTCAGTCTTTGATATAACGTTTGAGTTTTTGTTTTATTTAAACGTTTTAAAATTAGTATTTTTGTTATTATTAGATAATAAAATATAAATAGTATTTTGCGCGTGACTAATTTTTCTAATTTTCTTATAAATTTTTAAAATAAAATAGACGGTCAAATGTTAAACTCACAAACCTACAAGTGGGGTTTTTGTGAGTAGTACTCCCTATGTCTCAAAAAGAAAATCTAGGATTGGATGTGACACACCGTAGTACTATTAATTTCTACCCCCTCCGTTCCATAATATATAAACTTAGAACCGAATGGGACACTTCATAGTACAACGAATCCAAACATGTTGTCCAGATTCGTTGTGCTATGAATTTTCTCATCCGGTCTTAGGTTTCTATATTAGAGCAAGTTTAATAGTATAGTCCACTACTACCTCCAATTCATCTATAGCCGATTTAATAGCTATTTCATACAATAATTGCTTACTATACTATTAATGTATGACCCCACCTGTCATACACACTCTGCTTCTTGGAGTCCGTGCTGCAGCTAGCTACATATCTATAGCCCGCTGCTCTTCTCTCTCATTTTTTATCTCATTAAAATATGTTTATAGTTGGCTAATAGTATGCTATTGTACCTGCTCTTATGGGACGGATGGAGTATTAATTTAGACAGATATACTTTCAGATTTATAGTATTGATATGTGCCACATTTGATATTAGTTTGGTTTTATATGTCCGTTACATAGAAAATTACTTAAAGTGAATGGGACACCATACAATGTATCTGGACATATGTCCATTTTCATGTCCACTGCAAGCAACGGCAACAAATTCAGTGGTGACAGCGGCGACGGATTTTTCTCCTTGTCACTATGCCACCTTGTTGTCACCGGCAATCTACCGCGATCTATCATCAATAGTCCAGGCGTAGTTGGGAAGAAACACCGGATGTCGAGTTCAGGCAATAGCGTTTCTGCTCTTCCCAAGCGACATCCGTGCTGCACGATCTTCACACGCAGAAGCGTTGCTGCGCCACATGCTTCGTCGCCGTATATCTTCTCCGCAAGCGCACCAAGTTTTAGAATTTTTTTATTAAAATATTTACAAAAATAGTTTTTAGTTTTGAAAATTTACAAATTTAATCGCCTGCCGCCTTTTGGGATTTTTAAAAATCGCCCTTCCAAAAGGCGGCAAGGGATCTAAATGTAAATTTTTCAGCACAACTTGTTAGCTCTATGATTTTACAATTTAAAATTATATTATATAAAGTCAGATGAAATAAAACTTTATATCAAAATTATAGATCTCAATGAGATCTACAACTTTTTAGTTAACAAATTTTTCATTTAAGATGTTTTAGATATCCAAATATTCGTTACAAAATATAAAACACATTTAAAAAAATCTCAGATCTACATTTCAAACGACATTGGATGGAGATAAACTTTATATAAAAGTTGTAGATCTTGATGAGATCTATAACTTTGTAATTTATCACTTTTTCATTTAAAATCATTTAGAGTATCGAATAAGCATTATTAGTTTTTAAGCAATTAAAACCGGTAGAAAGGGTTTGAACACAAATAAAAATTTTGCATTTAGGTCCCTTGCCGCCAGGGCGGCAGGTGATTAGATTTGTAAATTTTCGAAAAAAAATTATTTTTGTAAATATTTTAATAAAAAAATGTATAAATAAAAAAAATCCCAAGTTTTATAGCATCTGGCCCATCAAGCTAGCCCGCCGGGAGGCTGATCGATCCACTCGGCCCAGTAATGGAAGTATGAAACGCCAACAAATTGGGTCGGAACGGGATCCCCGCTTACGTAGTTACGGGCCGTTATTAGTTGGGCCGGCCGGGAAGGGATTACAGCAACGAACTTTAGCAAAAGAAATGCGCCTTGAGACTAATACGCACGTAAAACGGTACGATAAATTAACTCAGGAATAATTTAGTATTAGTTAAAAACTTAAAAGTGAATTAATATAGTTTTTAAAGTAACTTTTGTATATAATTTTTTTTTAAAAAATACTCCTTTTAACAATTTGAGTTGAGAAAATCAACAAACCAATTCAGCTTGAGTGTCTTGATTACTTGTATCACTTGGCAGTCTTGGGCTGATGCTTTTTTCGGTGGTCCAATTAACGATTTTATACGAATTGATTGTACCACAGTATCCCCGACGTCAAATCAAGAAAACACTACACGAATTCTTGATTTTTGCTCCATAAAACAATACAGCATGTGTTTCTTAATTATTTATGTGCTCCAAATATAATAAAACCTGTGATTCTCTGGAGACGAATGGCCAATATTATAAGCACAAGTGCGAATCGTAGTAGCATGCAAATTGAAAATCTTCCATGCCGGCTGAGGTAAGCTCTGACGCATACTTTGCCTATAATTTCTTTATATCAATTATTTTTTCCGTGCTGATAGCTCTAAGATGAGTCAGGACACGAGTACAAAGCAGATGGCAGCGGAATCTCATCTCTCCCATATCCATCAGTAATAAGCTTTGACCTCTGCGTGCTTTTTTTTGCTCACGTAGCCGTGCAGTTACGCCATTTTGGAACAATTGAATCGACTATCTAAGTATTTTGCTAGTAGAACTTTTGCAGAAATTTAAGGAGTATGTAAAATTAAATGATATAAATTATGATAAGTCGAAAAGAAAATAGATAAAGAATATCTGCATTGTACGACGGAGGAAGTAAATAGGAGCCCATGTACAATTCCAAAGTACTCACTCGTACGATATCATTTCCTAAATTTATCAATTGTATCTATTATTATCAGTATGTGGTGATCATGAATGGTCGGTAAAATATAATCAAGTATAGCTGTTTGTCACTGTCAGTATGTCAGTCCCTCAAACGGTTATAGGGGTGGCTAGGATTGAACCAACATAAATTGGCGCCCATGCTTTTTTAGCGTATAGAATTTTATCATCCACAAACCCGTCACAATCCGTGAACGAACAAACTTGAAAAATGAAATGCTAAACATATTCATCTTCCCTTTTCCACACGGAAGAACAGCAGCACAATAAGTGAAACAGTGATGCATCATTGCATCTGTGCATTTAAAGATATACTCCTGAGTAGACTGAAAATTCTCTCTTCTTGACGACAGTAAAAACTTTTTTAGCTTAACCTCCATGACAGGTTACTGATTAACTAAGCAAGGGTGTCTCGTAGTAGTACTGTACTGTGTAGCTTAATATAGCACGTCAGCTTCTCAGCTCTAACCTCTCACCATTTTCCCAAGAGATATCGCCATCACGATCTCCCGTAATCACTTCTTATATAAAAAGCAAGCAAGATGCTACGAGCTAAACAATTTCTTTAGTTAGTCTTCACTAATCACGGGCTTAAACGCATCTTGTTACATTCTCATCGGCAAGCAAAGAGCAAGAGAGAAGAGAGAGGAGATGGTGGATGTGAAGCACACGGCCGGCCACGCCGGCGCGAGGAGAGTCAAGCTGTTCCGGGTGCCGCGGCGGCCGGCCAGGGCGGCGGAGGAGGCGGGGGCGCCGCTGGTACCGGCTGGCGAGAGGAGGAAGAGGAAGATGGCGGTGGCGAGGCTCGGCGGCGGCGCCGGCGGGCGGAGGCGGCTGTTCGGTGCGTTCCGGCGGCTGCGGGTGCGGTGGCTGGCGGCGCTGTACCGCCGCTCGCTGCGGCGGCTGCGCGCGTACTACGCCAAGGCGGTCCAGGACCTCCTCGAGGGCGCGGCGGCCATGAGCACGCTGCGCTCGCAGGCCGCCGCCGACTGCTCGTTCGGCACTGCGTTCGCGCCGGTGGTCGCCGTCGGCTACTGATGAGCGCGTGCATGTCTGCAGCACCGTTCTGGCCTGTGCATGAAGAACATGAAGCCATGGAGCAGTAGCACCCCTGTGTATAGACGTGGTTAACTGTCCATGATGAATTCCAGTGCTGATCTTTTTTCTCTCTTCATTTTATGGATCTCGAGTTCTCGACAATGATCAGTGTTCATCCTGTTCGTAATTAGCTAGCATGTAGTACAACTTTCCGGATCTGAAAAAAATAATTATATTATGTTAAAGAAGAGAGAAGATAGTAAGAGAAAAAAATATATTCGCTTGATTGCTTCAGATCAGTCTGTTCGATGAAGTAATTAGTACTTTATGTAGGCTGGTCTTCCGAATTTTACTCCTTGCACATGTCTTACAGTAGAGTTCAGATCAATCTGGGCATCTGTCCCAATTTGTCATCGAATAATTAGTCTGTCGAGATTCTGTTCCCTCCTCACGTCTCAACTCTCAACTGCCGTCTGCTGGAACTAAGATAAGCGCTAATCGTAGTTGGCTTGCATATATAATAACGAGTACTCCCTCCGTTTCATAATGTAAGTCATTATAGCATTTTCCATGTTTATATTGATATTAATAAATCTAGACATATATATCTATATATATTCATTCGTATCAATATGAATATGAAAAATGCTAGAATAAGTTACATTGTAAAACGGATGAAGTAACAGTCTGTCACTTCCCTTTTCGTAGCCAGCAGTAATACGCAATAGTAACTCACTGAAGCTATTGCAAATAGTAGGCTTAAGGATGGACACAAGGACAAAATTTCAGTCTAAGATGATTCCCATCAGAGCAGACATCCTACCGTACGTTCAGGCGTTAATAAAGTCCAACTGCGCCTCAAGATTTGCATGTGTTTTGTTGCTTTTGTTTATGTTCTGATCTGGTATAGTGGTATACTCTCTGGACTGATGCTAAGTAAAATCCCGATCAAATCCTACTGGAGCCTGGAGGACAACGAAGCGAGACAGCCCTGAGCCCAATATATCACAATCAATTCATGGCGTGTTTACGGCCCCGTGAGGCCGTGACTGGCTCAGTTACAGAAAAGGGCCTGGGCCGTCGTTACACCGCCAGCCCAGCCAACAATTTTCGAGCTGGGCCTCCACTGCTGCGTTCCGTTGTTTTGGTTGGATCATCCGGCCAACCAGCGTCAACACCGGGATCGGCCGGCCGCGTGTCTGACGGAAATGGCAAATTCAAAGTTTAAGCAGATTTAAATCAGTAATTAGGTAGCTGGAAGGAGCATGAACGCACGATTCATGCACAGCTGCTCGGTGCTTCAACTACACCTGACCTCACGAGTCACACCTGCACAGTACGTGCTACACCAACTGCTACTAGCTGACGCGAGTTCTATACTTCTATCAGCATGACACATCTCGACGATCTCGTAGACCAACTCATACGGAGATCACGCTTAAATACTACTCGTAAGTCGTCGCAGCTGCAGGTGGACACGCGGCTAGGCGACCAAGCACAAGCAGCAAATTAACAAGCGTTTCAACAAGCTGGAGATCACGAGTCCGGAGCAGATGGACGGCCACGTCGCTGTGGCGCCGCGGCGAGACGCTGCGTTCCGCGCGACGACGCGGCGGACTCTGACGATTCTGCACGGAAGCTGCAGGGTGAGGAGGAGGAAGATGGCGGTGGTGCGGCTCGGCGACGGCAGCAGGAGGCCGCGGCGGTTTATGGGGGCGCTCCGGAGGCTGCGGCTGCGGTGGGTGGTGGCGGCGATGTACAGGCGGGCGCTGCGGCGGCTGCGCGCGTGCTACGCCAAGGCCATCAGGGACGTCCTCGAGGGCTCCGCGCTCGTCGGCGCCGCGCGCGCGGACGCCGGGGTTTGAGTTTTGCACTTTCACACATCTCCTTTAGGGCTTGTTTGGTTGATTGGGAATTAATCCCCAAGGGATCCTAGGATTGAGTGAATCCCTCCCAATTCCCATCTCACTCAAACCCTGTGGGGATGATTCCCTTTGCCTCTCCTAATCCCTCTCCTAAAACCTGTGTTCGGTTTTGGCTGGGAATTAACCCATGGAGAAGTCCAATCAAGCAAGAAACTACTGAAGCGGCTGAATACTCCAATAAATAGCGCATTAAATTTGACTTATGCAAAAATCATACACAGAAGTTGTTGATGTCATGAAAAATACTGCTAACACTGAAGATAACAGTGTATGCGTCTATTTCTTCAAGCAAGAAGCACATCACAAACATGTCTTGTCAGCAGACAAATGGTAATAATACTGTTAAGAAACTTTGGGCTTGGCCCATGAAGGCCTGGCCCAAATACACTTATTGGGCCTATCATCAAACCTTCCATATATTGGAATGCACTATATAAAGAGAGGAGGGGGCTACTCATTTGTACAGTTGATTGGATGATTGAATAGTGAAAGAGAGTCTCACCCCTAAACTTTGTGTCTCCACTTTTATACGATTATGGGACCCTCTTAGACTACTTCGTGTAGTAGGAGGGTTGCGTAATAAATACAATTATTTTCACTTTCCAAATATCTCACATAGCAAACTCAAAACAGGCTGCACTAGCTAAGTCTAAATACACAACAAAACCCAAACTTCTCCCAGGATCTCCCAAAATGAGAGTTTAAGTACTTCATGAAGCTGCTACCATCACATTTTAATTACATAAAATCCAACATCAGTGATTGCTCCAAATGACGAACTATAGCCTTCTGTGACTGAAAAGGATAACCAATAGTTAATAAGATGGCACTACTAGCTCCATAGTAAACAAGTATTCACAGTAAACAAGTATGCAAAAGCGCAGTGGATAACAACCAAATTTTCCCTTCTGTACAACATCTATGAAAGCATTGTAGCAAAAACTAGACAGGAAAGTTGTAGGTACAGATTCAACAAGCAAGTCCAAGAAGAGATGCTTATATACTAATATCAAGCAGTTGTCCTTATATCAATTATAAAAACTTCAAAAGGAACAGACACCTCAATTGCCAATTGATCATCAGAATTTAACAGTAACAAAAAAGAGAGGGCATGGAACCAGGGAGATGATAAGCAATGGTGATTGCAGTGAATGCTGTAAATTCATTGCAGTACACAAGAAGCCCTAAGCTCCATCTCTACTTCTCATCATACACAGATGCATATGTCTCTGCAACAAGTCTGTCACTTCATGTTATGCTTTTCAACAAGACAGTTATTTTAAATTGGACAAGGATCACCAGTTGGTACTTTATATGTACCAGTGCATTACATCTAGTGAGAGGAATATTATGCTTGGAACAACAATAAAGAAATTAGTGCAGTACAACCCAACCTGTCTTCACACTCTAAGAATTGGCAAATTAGTCCAAATTAACCAATTTTCGGATCAAGGTAAAGCAATAAGATGTTATAGGCATCACATTTTAATTACTGAAGCGGTTCTATTATGCCAAATGTCAAGTTTAGTAGTGAAGCTTGGTGTGAAAAATTCTATAGGCTCAGTAATTTTAAATGAAAATAGATATTGAAATGAAAGTGACTCTGCTTGTAAGATGACAAAAACTGCTCAAATAGAAGCATCACATGATGTCCTTCAGCATCAACTGCTGCATATCAGGAGATCCACTAGATTTTCACTTCAGCTAGCTGTAACTGCCTAGCTCCCGCTTTGCAGCCTCAATTACAAGCATATTATATGGTATTGAATCTTTTTTCACCTATCCTAAAGCCAAATTGTGAACTTGCAATGGCAGTACCATATGCAGTACTACTTAAAATGCTTGCACCCAAATAATCAAAATTTTGGAATCCTAAACTAGGATAAATAGATCATCATGCTTAACAGAGAAAAGATGCACAAATGGATGGACGGTTTCCAGGAGAAGCTTAACAGCGGGGCAAATTTCCTGGAGGAGATGAACAGCGTAGTGAGTTTAGTGAAGAAGCAGCGGATCAACGACCCCAGCATGATGAACTGGTCGCTGCAGCTCAAGGACGCTATCGACGAGGTGGAGTTTACAAGAACAGCAAGAACAACAAGAATAGTCAAAGAATCGCCTTGTGCTCTCCTCCGCCTCTTCTTCTCCGAGGGCGCCACGGCGGTGGCGCAGTGGGCGAGGGCGATGGGCGGCGGCGGCGGCAGAGTGGATGCGCCGACGCTATGCTGCGACCGGGAGCGGTGTTCGACGGGATGGCGGCGACGACAGGAAAGGGAGAAGAGAAGGAAACCCTAACCCTAGATTTGGAAGAGGAGGGGAGAGGAGGAAAGGCAGCGTGCTCACCGGAAAGAAGGTGGCGGCCGGATGAGAGAGCCGTGCTGTCGCCGTCGCCGTCGCCTTCGGGTCGCGCCGCCCGCCGCGCGCCGCGTCTTCGTTGCGCCGCCGCCTCCTCTCGAGGTTTTTTTCCACGCCTCGGGAGTAGATGATTTATTCCCGGGCCGGGGCGCAGGGAAAACACCGGGATGGGCCGGGTTAAAATCCAGACTGGGCTTAACCGAAAACATATTTTTCTGTGGGCCGGTATCCTTTCCATGCCGGGATTATCCGTGGGGAATAAGTTCATCTGAGGGCGCACAACGGGTTTCCGTCACACAACGGGTCACTCAACTATCAAAACCGGTGTAGAATAGGTCCCTCGACGATTTTGAGGGCGGTTTTGGCTGACGTGGCGCCTACGTGGCTAATTTGACTCAGTATTCATCTGACGTGGCGCTTACGTAGCAATTCGATCCGAAAAAATAATAAGACCCGTGGGACCCACATGTCAGTCTCACACAGAAAATAATAAAAAATGGTGGGACCCACATGGGCCCCACATGTCAGTCCAACTCACCCCTCTTCTTCATCCTCTCTCCCCCATCTCCCCTCTCTTCATCTCTCTCTCCTCTCCTCTCCTCTGTCATCAGGCGACGGAGAGGCAGCAGCGATGCGCCCGGACAACGGTGCCTATGCGGAGGAGCTCGCCTGAGCGACGCCGGCGCCGATGCGGCGGGGCGCGGCTGAGTGGAGGCTCGGCGCGAGCGTGGCCGTGCGGTGGTGCCGGCCCCGGTGAGGGCACAGCGCGGGTCGCGCCCTCGGGGGTGCGGCCGGGCAGCGGTGCCGATGCGGAGGAGCTCGACCGAGCGACGACAGCGCCGATGCGGTGGGGCGCGGTTGGAAAGAACAACACGGAATCAATCGACACCAAATTTTTATCGTATTTCTTTTACGCTGTTTTTCCTTCTCTTCGTTTTGCTCCTCCCGATCTATTGCAGGCAGCTGTCATCGTCATCGTCGTCCCTCCGGCCGGCTGGTGGTGACGCTGCGTCG